GTCCAGAAAAAAAATGCCATAAGACAAACAAATATTTAAATATTTAAAACAAAACATTGAAATATATAATTATTAGTTTTTTTATAAAATTAGTTCTTTTCTAAATAAGTTTCATCACTAGTGATTTTTAGATTTGTATTGACAATTTATTTCTCAATGTTTTTTTTTTTTTATTATTATTTCTATTGTTTTAAATAAATAATTAAAATTTTCACAACACAACCTTAACATTATCATACCACTTTTTCTGAGAAACACAGCATTAAAAAGCATATTATTATTAGACTATACTAAAATTTTGTTATTGATGACATACTAATTAGTAATTATTATAATTATTCATTACGACATAATGATAATGTTTATTATAGTTGATAATAATTAAAACTGTCTAATATTATTCATGTGTTTGGTTGTAACACAAAACTCTGAGGTAAAAGCCAAAAATACATGTAAATAGATTATAAATAATTATTTAATAATACATATTATTTAAAAAAATATGTAAAACTATATGAATCGATTACACAGCTATTTAATATTCAATTTTCATATATTTTCCTGTAATGATTAAATGAAAATATAATCATAATATGTTACTACGTATTTGTTTGTTTTGTTTTTGTTTTTATACAATTTTGACCTTGAATTATTGATTTTTAATATTCAATTTTGATTCGTATAAAAAAAATATAATTTATATTTTTGCAAAATGCTGTACTAAATAACTTCGTACATATATATAGATCGTTCTGCTGTAGTAGGAACACTAAGAACGCGGTAGAACCTTGGCGGCATAATAGAATCCAATATAAATCGTAAAGAAAATAAAGGAATAAATACTTTTAAAATTATTCAGAATAGTGTATCAATATATACACATAGGAATAGTATTTAAAAGTATTCAGTGATCTATCCATGTATAAGTAATTTTACTCTGTAGATAATTTCACAGTGTCTACTACACCAATGTCTTAAACTATGTCATTGAATACATTAAAAAAAAAAAAAAATTAAATAAAAATAAACAAAAATAACAAACTTAAAATATCACCAAAAATGAATTAGGTTACTTAGATTATTTTTTAATAAGGTACAAATGTACCTATTCTATTTTACATAGAAATTTAATGTATTCAGAGATGAAGAATACCTAAAAAATAAATGTATTAATAATTATATATATCTCCTTTTGTTTATTGTTACAAAATTACCAGTATCCTTTAATATTTAATTATTTATATTTTCATTAATGCATCACCGCATTAAACTCGTCATACATCGTAGTTTTAAAATATACTAAGATCAAAAAATTGTATAGTTTAAATGTCAACACAATAAAATGGTATTATTAAAAGAAATAAAAAAAAATATTTCAAGATCCATTTAATTATTTGAATGACATGGAAATCGTTCAAGTTCCTTAAAAAAAAAAAAAAGAATTTCATCAAGTGTTATTTGATAATTTAGAAGGTTGTTCACAAAATATAAACATGAACTTGACGAAATAAAGAACGGCTAAAATATATTTTTTTTAACATGCGGAAAGACAATCTCTTCCTCCCTCTCCCCCACAAAAAAATGAAAAATCCTGACTACTATTGTTACACATACACTATAAGTACTAATATGTATAATATTATACACTGATGAAAAATGTTATTTTATTTATTCAATTTTCTTTGTTTTTGGCGTGATGTGCGAATCAAAAAAATTTGGGAACTGTTGGATTAGATAATAATTAATATAATATTTTGGCTGAATTATATCTTATAATTTTTTTGATTAAATATTTTTTTATTATTATTATTATTGATAAAGCTCCTTTGAACAAGAGAAAAACAATGTTTACATTTAAAGAATTTAATAAATATAATAGCATGGTATATTGAAAAGCCAAAATAAAATATTTTTGAATTAAAGTAAGTATTTAAATTTTAAATTTAATAGAATATACTACTGATATATTAGCAGTATATATGTATAACTATTAACTAATAACTATATCAATTACATTTTTAAATTATTGTATATAAATTAATAAATTATTAACTTTTATTTATTTACATAAAAATGCGTGAAATTCTAATTGGACGCATTGACTTTAATTTTGACAATGGTAATTTATAAAAAAAAATTATTATTTTTATTATTTTTTTGGACATCATCCATTTATTATTTTCCTCCTTTAATGTATTGCGTATTTAAGTTTTATTAGCTCTTCAGTTTCATAAACATAATATTATCTTTTTTTTTTTTTGATTAATATACAAGAACATTTTAAATAGCTAATATGAACAACAATTTATAGTTAGTAGACATAAATCATAATAGTCTTAGTAAAAATAATAATTATTGCTGACTTTTATTGTACCATACAATTAAAATAATTCTGTTATACATTTTTAGATAGATAGTCAATATGACGTGGTCGATAGCAGTTGCAAGTACAAAATACAAATATTTCAATATACCACTGTCGCTCGTTCCTATCAACCGTCACTTTTCGGGACATAAACAGTGTGACTCGTTCAATTCAAAGGCCATGACTAGTTTATGTGACGTCATGGTTACGACTAACCGAATCCGTGACAACAACCATCGACCATGAGTGATCTCAATATAATTAATACCTATTAATATTCCAATCTAATAAATTTGACATATATTTAACATTCAATTTTGCATTTGGTGTCTATGTTTTATCCTCATTTCTTATACAACACCGATTTTAGCAACAAAAATAAACAAAGATCGAAGTCATTGTAATTCACATAAACTATAAGCTATGGTCAAACCTTAAAAATAATTATAAATGATAGGTAATTCAGAAATTCATAATTAATATACTATTAGAATTGAATTATTTTACTAAAAATATTTGTAGTAAGTTATTAATAATTAGTTTTAATAGCTAGGTAAGGCCAGTCAGGGTTATTGTAATTTATTAAATCTTTACGACAACTTGTTTCCTTTAAAAAATAATTTTAATTTTTTAATTTTAAATTTTCCAAAGTAATTTTAAAAAAACTGATCACTGATCGTGTAAACTGTAAATTACTTAATATTTGGGAATTTTCTATAGTAATGTATTACTATTGAATCAATTACGCAACTAGTAACTTATAAACTTTACGTCAATATACATGACGTACAGATATTTTATAATGTAAATGCGTAATATCTATTATATATACGTATAGTAACATATAGTAGAATCAAAGACTCATAAAACATAACGATTTATGAATATTTTCCAAGTATATGTGTAAATGTATAATACTAATCTAGTAGGCCGGCTTAACATATCAATAACATAAAGGACTATTATTAATAATAATAAATGTCGATAAACTTTAAAAACAAATTAATGTTTCAAAAGTATCTTTTTAATGATCGAGTATTTATCCAAGATATTTTTTTTTATGAAATACTCAACACATGGATTAAAAATGTATCGCAATACAAAATACTTGGTACTTTCTATGACTGTATCAATTAAAAAATACAAATTGTATCCAAAATTTGTGTTTAAGATACTTTTTATCTTGGTTTTTTTGTTCAGACTTATGGGCTATCAAAATATTTTCCTCTTTCTATTCTAAATTTAAATGACGCCACTACTTGAAAGCCCTTCTAACAAAACATATACTGTAAGTTTGTAACAGAATATTATACCTATTGGTTCGTTTAATTTCGCATGGTCGTGTTTATTTGCCACGCCAATGTTCAATGAATCTGATGTGAATAAATGCAACTATTATTTGTTTGTTAATTATGAAATGTTTATTTTATATTGCTCTTTAGTAAGATCATCATAAACATAAATGTTAATTTATGTGCGCTGTTTGCGAGTTTAAGTGCATTCATAGGATTCTATTTCATTGTTAAAATATACAAGCATTATCTATGAATGAAATATTTTTGTTTAAGTAACACATTTTTTTCATAAGAATTTGTATTTATTATTTTTGATAATAAAATAAAAATAACGTAACGTTTTTGCTTTCCCTCTGATATGTTATTATGTTATTTTATGATGTGTAATTATACATAATATTACGAAAAATTATAGACATTAACCTGACTTTCATTATTTTTTACTGTCTGCGATTCTATTAGCACCTAAATATTTCTGCTTACTTAATTATTATTCAACTAGTATTTATTTACCTATATGTACAGTATACAGACTTGACATTACTGTACTAATGTTTATGCAGACGTCTAACCTTATTTTAATCAAAAGCCCTATATTATGTTGTTTTGCAATTATTTTTTCTATTTGTTTCCTCTTTTTTCTCCTTTTTATTATAGGCAAGTACTGAAATTTTAAAAAACACTCTAGTTTATTATTAATATTTTTATTACAGTTGAACCACGATCTTTAAGTATGGTACATACTTTGTTTATTTTTTTTTATATAGTTATTAGTTATGCTTATAGATTTGTCGTTAAAATTAATATAATTAATTTAATTTTTATGTTCAAAACCGCCAAGACAGTTTTGATATACACACTTTTCGAAGGTATACATATATAAATTTTAGTCACCAATAGGATTTAATAAAAACCTTAAAAAATAAAAATAAAAGAATAAATACATTGTAAAATTATTCAAAACGTGATATTAATACTTACAAGGATAGAGTTTATAGCTAACTTGGAAAACTAATCAAGTTTATATAGGCAATTTTAATTAGTTGATAATTTTTCTGCATCTACAAAATGAATATCTGGATCGTTTTGCTCAAAATTATAAGGTAACAAACCGAGGACAACGCACTAAAACGGTTGAATTAGTTGACCCTAACACACGTTATGTGTGTTTTATTTTGTGCCCTCGGGGATATACATATTTTATATATATTTTTAATGCGTAAATTATCAAAAAAAAATGTACTAAGATGATTCATTTATTGTATTGTACATACTTTACATTTAAAGTTATTGTTCTGTATAATACTATAACAAATATAAAGTATACAACATCGGTTAACTTTTGTACGTTAATTATACAAGATTGCAATATATTTTACGGCACAATAAACACGCTTGTTAAAATTTTAACTCAATAATGATGAAAATACGTTTGTCCAAACAAACGTGATCAATTGTATTTAATACAGGTGTATACTGGCTCTTCTAGTCTATATATATATTTATCGTGTGTATAAAAACCGTTACAGCAGTGAACGCGCGATGAAGTTGAAACTTTGTTATTATCTACATTCATCCACAACCATGTTGGGTATCACCGACAAGGAGATATTTCCTAAGCTGTCCATGTAAAATAGGGTAAATTTTGACGTCTTATGTGGCACACAACACCGACCTTTGACGGAGATTTGTAATTCTTGCTCGCTAGTAGGACGCGAGGAATGCGCTGGAATCGATGAACTGCATTCTCCTGTGGACATATTATCTCCCAAACAGTAGTAAAACTTGAATTTTTTAGGCGCGAGGATCCAATTCCAACCAATGTTATTAAAATCAATCATCACCGGGTACCTAGAGCACCGGGTTTGTGATGTGCAGGTCGTATCGTTGCACGTTGATGACTCGTACCTTGCTTCCCGTCTGTTACGATATCCGTAGTGGGTGTGCACCTCCAAATATGGGGTCTACAAAACGCATGATCACGGTGAATAGATCAAATTAAATAATATTATACTATTATTACTCGTATTATAAAAATGAACGTGGTGTTGCGTACTGGACGATGTAAATATATAGTTTTACAAGTGAGGGATTATCGATGTAAAATAAAGCAAAGATATCAATAATTATTGCAATGATGATCTCAACAGTGGTAAAGACGATAGTGAAGAATGAAGATAGTATTTTACTGTATATTATCAATAATAATATAGTTTCTTTGATTTTTTCATTAAAACTTTGATACTTAAAAAACTTAACCTCCGATGTTACTAAGTTACTCAATGAACACAATATTTCATACTATATAACAATTAACAGGAGTGGTCAACATAAATAGGTTTGCGGGCCCGCCAATAAATACAATGATAGATGTTTGTAGATACATTTTATCTAAATAAAAACCTAAAAAATTAAGATTCATAATAATAATAATAATAATAATAAATAAATTTTGATTTCATAAAATGACGAGAACCGCATCTGACAATGACAAGAACCATATGTGGCTCGTGAGCTGCAAGTTGGCCATCCCAGCTATATATTTTATGAATCTTCTAAAGAACGGTGTAAAATAAAGTTTTGTATAGGTAAAGTTGTGATAGTACCTACAAAGTTAAAATTCAAACACGTTAAATGGCCCCTGAAATAAAAACCGTGTATTTAATATTTATGGAATCTGTTTTACTATGAATTGTTTGATCTCAGACAAAATTATAGTTACTAAAAGATGATACGTTTTGTAACTTGAAAATTTCTGTATAATATAATATATACATATTAAATATACGTAATTATTTAGAAACTGCATGAGGCGCACATAAGACGATGAGGACATGTAAATACGTAATGTTAAGTTATATTTTTTCGCAATTCATATATTTCGTATGTATATTAAAGTCAACATTATACTATCGATGGTAATATACGTTCTAAGGTAGTAAGGTATATTATTATGTTATGCGAAGTTGAATGCAAAGTGTATCAAATTATGCTCGTTTAACAGTTTTATAATGCGCTATATAATCAATAAAATGCGGTAATATTACGATAACGTCCAATGTTCATATCGTATTATGATTTAAATGTTGAAAAAAGTCTACAGTGTTCTTTCAACCGACACATTCTCTCTCTCTCTCTTTATTCCTCTAACTTATAATAATATAGCATAACACTACTCTTCCATTTTCTGAAATCTATTTAAACTACGCAGTCCTTATATAAATGTTATATCGAATTTCTAACTTCATTATGATGTCCGATAATTATTGATTTATTACAATATTTTTTTCATCAATCTATGTGCTCGATTTATACAATAATTATATATTATAATTGTATGGTTTATAGTGTAGAATACATTTATAACTTAAAACAATACTCTTTAATAACGATAAAAGTATAATATGTAGTCATGGAAGTAAGTTTATTAGTTTGTGTTTTAGTGGTAAGTTTCTTATAAATTACTTTATAATGTACCTCAGTCATATTGTCTTCTCTTTTCCTAGCATTCGTTATATATGGCATCTTGTCATATGTAGTATTCTTGTTAATATAGTACGCTTGTACCACTAATGTTAAGTTCTTAGCCCCATCCATAGTTTTAAACCAGTCGGACATGTTTCTCTGTAACTCAATAGGCACCCAGCCTGGTTTGGTGGTATTGAACACTTGCTGCAAATATATGAAAAAGGACAAGATAAAAAAGACAGTACCATAAATCATAATAAATATTAAATTATAATCTAAAAATATTATATCATATAACTAATTATTTACTAGTAGCCTGTAGCCTGTCTTCGCCCTAAAAAAAAATAAACACTTATAAAATAATGTGATAATTTGGTATATATTATATTGCTTTTATTGTGTCTTAGTTCAAAGATAAATCATCGTCGGTATGTCTCGTTATGAGTACTAATTTAGTTAAGATGAACAATTTACTTATGGTGGATTTGATATATTTTTGAACATGATTCAAACTACTCTCTTAACTTTTTCAATAGGAGGAAGAACAATTTCTAAATTTTTTATTAAAATTGATCGAATAATTTTTAAACAAAATTTAAATTGCAAATTTATACATTAATTTATGTATAAGTATATTATACAAAATTCTCTTTTATTTCTATAACCAATCGACAATGGCAACCCTTATTATATATATATTATTTATATACTATATCAACAAAACTTGTTCAATTCCAGTAAATCAAAATAAAATTAATACATTCAGCATCCTATAACAACCTATACAAAGGTTGAAAAAAAAAGTTATGGTGACTTCAGCGACGAGTCTCAAAAAATATGTGAGTAAAATGTGGTGCAAATTAGTTTAATAGTTTTCAAGTCTATAATAGCCCTATAGAAACATAATGATTTATTAATATATATATATACTCGTATATGCGTGTGTAATGTGTATGTATAATATTATGCTCAACAGTGGCGACTACAACAGAGAATCGTAACTCATAATTATATTAAGACAACTATATATATGTACCAAATATAACCGATTTTATCGATTATAATATGTGTGGGTATGTTGTAATAGTCTGTCTGAAAGATTCAATTGTAGTTTTATATGGACTTTAAGCTATAGTCAATTATTAGTTTATTATATTGGAGTTTCTTACCTCTACGCTTGAAACTAATGACTGTTGTAAGTTTCTTGGATTAATTTTGTACACATTGATGATAATCACCGAGTTGTCGATGACCACGTCCAACATTCTCTTGTATACCCAAAGGATTGCTTTGGTGATCCGATAATGGCGAGTTTGGTCGGAAAACGCAAAGTAAAGTGGATATTGTCCTTGTAAATTCTGCGTTGTAGGATCTATGGCGATATAATATAAGATCATTATTATTTCTATTTCTCTATCACGTAACCATCATACGTTAATTGAATTATTAAAAGTAGGTACCTACCTACTGTTGTTATTGTTAATATTATTATTATTACGATCAAAACTCCATTAGTATATGGCCACGCTATATTTCCAAGCATTTTTAAATTTGTATCATAAATTTACGGAGGAAGGTGTCCTATTGATTTCTTAACTGAGCTTGCACATTTTTTATTAATTTTGTAAATAGAAAGTTTCAAAAAATCGTGTTTTAATTTTTTGTGGAAAGAGATATTTATTGTATTTATAATAACAACTATAATTTAAACGTGATCGAACACCTTAAAAAAAAAAAAAAATTAATAATAATAATAATATTACAATGAAGAGAGATAAATCCCTAACCACCTACCTAATATTATCACTCCACTTGGTAGAATCGATAGGTAATTGAGATAAACCGTGACCTGCGATGGCATCAATAATTTGCGATTTCGATACAAAATTGGAGGAATACGCGTAATCGTGTAGTTTTCAACCTGGATATCACAACTTCTTTAAAAGTTACCAATTAATATTATTTAAGGGTATCAACTGACCAGCACAATATAATATACCTAATCAATGTAATGTACAAATACAAAAAATACTTTTGAGTATTGCAAAATAATTTAGTGTCTAATTTATAGGGGAAGGGAGTCGATGCATTAAATAAATTAAGAATAAATATTAAAGACTTAAGACTGTACAGATATACGCTTACTTACGTGGCTGAGCAAACGCTATGAGCTTTTGCGTCTGTGCATGATAATTATCGTCATAGTCGTTGTAATTGTTGACGTTAATAGTGTTGTTTCTGGTCGCGTTTAGGTGGTGCAACCTGTTCTGGAATTGCGGGGCAGTCACCGTGGAACTGCCACTGTTGTTATGGTATTTTTGAAGTTGAACTTGCAGTAGCCGTCGATCGCCAAACTCCGGTGGTTGCTGCATACCCAGTTTGTTCAGTATAGACAATTTTATTAGCTCAATAGCCAGCGACTTCATTCCACCATCGCCATCGCCGCTGTCAAAGTCTTGTTGACGGTCGGCGGCAACGGTAGTTGTCAGTAACGTTTGCCCGGGGACCAGAAACAAAATGATAGCAAAGACGACAACCACGACCGTATGCGGCATCTTCTATTGCATTAAAAGTCCCGTGATTATCGTTTCGTCCAAGGTTTTTGTCTGAAATTTAGTCACGTGTCCTGCACTTGTACAACAAAAATATATACGTAAAACTATACGCTACATACTTACGATAAACTAAACTCACCCACATGGCATGGATGTTCATAGCTGAAAGGAGAGAGGCTTGAGAGTTTTAAGTACCCAATAGTTTCAAATAAGTATTTTCAGTTTATCCTATTTATTTCACAAATTGTTTGAAAATTTTAGCGATTTAGATTTTTATTTATTTTGTGTAATTTTATGTCTTAGAAAAAATAATTATTCAACAAAAATTCGTTTTGAAATCAAAATATCAATCTTGAATAAATTATTTTTAAGCTGTTAATATTTTTCATTGATTTATAATGACATAAACCATCTGTTTTATTAATTCAATGAGATGTATATTAAAAAAAAAAAAAAACTATAAATTACTATATTATGTTTATGGGGTTGATAACTCCCTCTCTTCTAAGAGGTTGTGAAACAAATTACTGTAGCATACCTTAAATTATTCACACCTAATGTGCTTCTAGCTCAACGGTGTTGAATTAAACGATTATTCTAAAACAAGTTTCAGCATAATGCTTGAAAATATGTAATATATACTACACCACTTCCATCATAAAAAATTGCAAATCAGAATAAAAGTGCGCAAACTTGATATTATGATAGTTACATCGTATTCTAAACTATTAATTAATACAATCAATATTTTCCGTGTATGCAACTATTATTCAACCAATTTTAACTTAAAGTGTCCAATAATGGATTTGTCCAAATCAGTCTAGTATTAAATAGTCATTACAACGATGTTAACGCCGCCTTTTGGACAATTACCACTGCAAATATTTTTGAATGGCACAACGCTTAACACTTGAAATTATATAATGCGGTCTGCAATCACAGAAGTAAACTTATCAGCAAATATGAGATAATACTGAGATAAATGTAGTCTGTAACTATTTAGTTAATAGATAAATCAAAAGATGTCAGACAGCTCAAACGCCTAAAACCATACGATTCAGCTTGATGGAATATTGAATTAAGAGTAAAAGTTGTTTCAATGAAAATGTAACTTCACACACGTGTACGCATAACATGCACCTATATTTATTTTGGTTATTCGATTAAGACGGTTGTACATGCAATGTAAATCGTTTTGAGATAAAGACCAATAAATTGGTCGTTTTAATAAAAACTAGTCATAAAAAAAAAAAAACTATATTGATGGTGTTGAATGTCAAATTGTCATATCGATTTTTCATTGTGTGTTGACTGTTGAATACCATTAATCGTGAAACTAGGAGGCAGATGTATGATATTCGAATTTGTTATTTCATATGGTGATGACTCTCATTTAGGACAAACGTTTATAATAGTGTCTTATAAATTATTATTATGCTTGAAGAGTATGAATGTGAGGATTTAATTTATGAACCATCACAACGACACCAAATGAAGGTATAAATGTATAATATAATAATATGTCGTGTGGCCTGTATTTTTGTATCATTAAGATACAATTGCACATTTATAACGCTATACGCGCGAGTATAATATAACCTATTGTGATTTAATTTCAACGATAATTGTAGAAAACGTGTATTGGTATTATAAACTAGGTATGCATTCAAAGTCAAAATTAACATAATACCCAGCTATTATTATTACGTCGGAAAACAAGATCTGAGAATCAATCATTCATGACTCACAAGTATATATTAAATATATGTTATGAGTTTATGACATAACGTATTGTGATTATTGCATATAAATTATAGCTACAGGCAACGGTGCCCGATAACCAGCACAATATACTTTATTTGAGAGACAAAAAAAAAATTGATTGACACTCTCCCAACCTGCCACAAACACAATTCACAAACATACATTAAGTTTTTTTAAATTTTTTTACTCGTACTTCCTAGTGATTAGTATAAAAACTATAAGAAATCCAGTACTCTACACTCCAGTATATTGTAATATGCTAATCAAGATTTAAATATTATACTTATCTAGCGTTCAACCGCTGTGAAAACAACATCGACCAAGAGCTACTATAAAACATAATAACAATAATATAATTTAATAAAATATGTATTGATTTGTGTAGCCATTGATGGGATTATACATTACGAAATAGTCAATAGAACCTGCATCAATTGCGCTTACTGATATCAAAATACACATAAATTAAAAACAACATTTTCTCATATATTACAAAGTATATAGTAAGATAAATAGGTATTTAAATGCATTTGGTGACCTTATACGTAGGTGAAACTCAAAATACAGGTATGTTATCATTGGGTTTCTCCGGTCTTATCAAAAGTGATGTTGTACCTACATTATCTAAATTTAATTTTTAATTAACCTAAATTACATTTTTATACATAGTGTATATTTGATTTTTAATTTTACTATAATATAAAAAATGTTATAATCGTATCATCAATATTTATGAAATGTAAATTAGACAAATAATTTTATAATAATTTATTATTTAATCTACCTACATTTTTCTCAATGAACGATTGAGGTGTATCTATTTTTAATGTATCATAATCATATACTGGTACACAATTCAGTTTCAGCACACATCGCGTGTTCACACAAAATTGGTTTTCGAAAACATAAGTTTTCTTATTATTCATTATAACTTGAAAACAAATAACCTTAGATACTTGAAATTGTCATCAAACATGTATGTCAGCATTTAATAACTTGAGGCTGATATCTCAAATATTGAACATATTCATAAAGTATTGATTTATAATTTATGGTATGATACGTATCATGTCCTTATTATTGAAAATGAAAAATATCAATGATACATCACAAATACATGATTTTTTTGACCAACCATTAAAAATATATAAATGCATAATCTACGTCAATATTCATTATATGCTGTTTATCTCTATTGTTAACTTAAATACAATTTACCTACTAATGTTGGACGATAACATAATTATTTTAATTTTAAATAATTCAAAATACTTTATTATAATGTTATATAGGTAATAAAAAAGTTTGCTAATTACCAAATGCTGACTGTGTAAATAAATAAAACTAGGTATCATATTTTGGTGCCATAGTTTTGAGAATTAAAATACTTTTAACACAGCTAAATATAATATGAAAGTAAATTTAGTTATAAACCATTAACATAATTGAAAATTGTCTATTTTACATACCAAATTTTTCCTAAAAAGATGGTAATTATGAAAATTTCATTAAAAAGGGTTAGGAAAATTCCTCATTCACTTAAATTAAATTAATAAATTTTCAACAACTTTAGTTATTTTTCTGTAGGAAATTCTAAAAAATATGAATTATAGCCATTACATTTTCACCATTACATACATTTTTATTATTTTTCTACACGTAATAAAACTTTCTAGATTAAAAGTTTAGATTTAAACTAATTTTAAGTTAGTGTCATTCAACGGTACGTTTGTATTGTGTTATAAATTATATCAAATATAATAATAACAATAAAATATTATATTAGTTTTTATTAATTTATCGTTTAATTTATTTGATTTTTCTGGATAAACATAAGTTAAACTTATTGTATATCTGACAAAAAAAAAAAAAAATGACAATATTTATAAAAATAAATTATAAAATATCTTTATCGGAGTAAAGAGTGACCGATTGTATCGGCTATGAATCGTTTTTTATAGTATTCAATATTTTATTATTAAATTTAAAATATCTAACTTATCTTTGACTAGTTATTCAATGATGATGAGTTACACTCGAATCCTATATTATACATTGAAGCGACTTCCTTGGTTTTTGGTTTTTAAGGATTATTCTTTAGTTATATTCATAATTCTGAGTTCCTATTAATAAATTTATATAATTTTAGACCTACATACCTTACTACTTCATAAATTGTAAAGTTGTTAGCTGAATGAAGCAGTTAATGTGCGTTATGAAGATCTTTGAATTTGCACGACCGTTACGAATAAGTTAAACATATGAACTAAAACTAAAATTTTATTTTGTATTAAAACAATAGATTTGAATTTATTTGCGTAAAACATTGTTCTATTAATTTTGATATGTTAGAGTTTATTAATATGAGATAATTAAAAAAAAAAAAAAAAAACATAACTAATTGCATATTGATAAGCATTAACGACCATAATAAATTTAATACAGGAAAAATTGTTTAAATAAATTAGATGCTGTAATATATTTTTTAAATTTTAAATGTGCTATTTTAATCTATTGATATAGATATAGATTAACTGTATAAAATAAAGAATTAAAAAAAAATAAAATTTTTGAATAATAAAAATGATGTTTTCAAATGTGTAAATACTAAATAATATAGTATCAGTGTGGATTTCAGATGTATTTTGATTAGATTTTAATTTGTATTTAAAACTGTAAGATTATTGTTATTATTTTCCAACTAACTGAAATCAAATTCAATAAAAATAAATATTAAAAGTAATTTTTTAATTACATATAACGATACATTATTCACATATACTACATCAATCTATAAGTTTCATAACCAATTGAGTAAAATTTAATAACTGTTGAGTTTTTATCTATAAGGAACAGTATTAAGAGTTTAATAATTAAATAAATAATATAATTATAATTTTATAATTTTATTATTTAATAAAATAATTTAATATGTTATGTGTACACCTAATTATTCAAACATTGACATATTCTAATGTAAATTATGTATAAAAATTAGTTTCATATTTAAAAAAATTCTAATTATTATTACAATAGATAAGCCTAGATAAATAATTTAAAGTCGGCATTTATAAAATCTATCTATAAAGTACTTACCATTTAGTTATGCAAAAACAACATTAAATTATCGAATTATAAATGCTAATTTTATCTTCATTTTTTGTCTAATCAAGTTTAGAGTCGATTGAATGCCTCTACGTGACTTTAGCTCAGTTAAAACCAAAAGTAACTATAACAATTTTAGTATAAAAATAATTGATTAAATGTACAAAATATTGAATCAAGATTTATAATAGTTTTATTTCAGAACTATATTTTTTTTTAATGTAGAATTTAGATAGCACTTATATTAAATTAATATTTCAAGTATTTTATATTTTTAAATTGTTCAAATAACAGTAATTCTTAAAATTTTAAATTAGATACACATACTAACATAATGCATATTATATGGCGTGACCTATTTGAATATCATGTTGAATCAACTAGGCCAAGGGGCAACGGTTACTAAAATAGTGATGATTAATACTAGACAATTTCTTCGAAATATTTGAGACGTAAAACTAATTCAAAACATTGAATTTAAGTCATAGTTAATAATATATAAGTACGTATATATTGCATTAATATCGCATTTATATCTGTACATTGTTTTAGATTCTGAGCAGAACTATGTGTATATTGATTTTACACGATAAAAAGTGGACAAAATAATTTTTAAACTTTGAGAGTGATTTTAATTAGAAAATTAGATCTAGTGTGTACTTTTAAGAAATCAAAATGAAAAATTTTCATCAATTTTTTTTTTTTTATAATCAGAAAAAACGAACAAAAATGTTTAAGCTGGACCATATTTCGATTAAATTGATTTATTTATTCTATTACAATTCAAAAACCACAGAAACTTAAAAAATTCAACGAGTATTTTAAGTATTTGTGTTATAATTTTTTTATAAGTGATATAACTTTTTAAATATTTTGATTTTTTTAAAAGCTATTTATAAACGATTATTTTTTAAGTGTCGATAAAAAAGTTTAAAAATGAGTAAAAATGTTCTAATAAATGATTAATCTTCCCACTAAAAAATATTTAAAATTTATAGTTACAGTAGTTTTTATAAGCATTTAAATTTTAAATTTCGACGAAATTCATCAAAATTTCGAAAATTACAAATTATTTTATAGTAAAAAATTAAAAATGCATAGTCTATTTTTTGATTATACCTAAAATTTGAAAAATTATATTATGTTCTGTAAACGTTTTATTAAACTATATTAAAAAAAAATCTTACCAGAAAGTAAGATTCATTTTTTATGACCATTTGAATTTAAAATTTTTACGACAACAGCTGATATTTACCAGTTAAATATTTTTTCCCAAACAATTTTTGATTTTGTTATAAACCAAAAATAAATAACCGTCTTATTTAAAATATTCACAAAATATACTATTACTTTAAGATTTAATTTTCAATATGTTTTGACTCTTTTTGAGTTATTTATATCTATATGAAATTTTTGATAATTTTTTTCTAAAAATATTAATAAAACAATATTTGATGATCAACATTTTTTTAAATGTATTAAAAGATCTCACATATTAAGTTATTTTTATAATACGTCTATATAATGTTATTAAAAATACTTGTAGGCACAATTTTTTTTTTTGAAGTTCAAATTTTCATAAAATTATGTATTTTCACGATGAATTATTCATAGAGATTTAAAACTTTTAAGTATTATTATGAATGTTGCTAATGAAGTAATGCATAATGAAGTTTTTTATTTACTTTAAGATATTATCTATTTTTACTATGAACTTTAATTTTATTGTTTTACGGTATTTACTAGAAGATATTAAACTTTGATTTATATAAGTTAATGTTATAATATATGGTATAAATACATATTATTATAATTTATAATAATTAAATGATAATATACTTAATAAGGCTTCTGCCACACCATGCGTTTTGGCGGGTCCGGTCAAAACGCATCCGGTCGACCGGATTAACGACTCACAAGAGTTCTTATTCTAGATGTCACACTAGTGCGTTTTGTCGGGACCTGACGATTCCTGCCGCTCGATGACCGCAACATGTTGCGGTCGGGCGGGAAACAAGTTGGCAGGACGTGTCATCAAAACACATAATTTTATATCGTGTATGCCACACTATGCGTTTTGGCCGCTGCGTTTTTTGAAAATTTATGAAAATTTATTATTTATTAAACACATAATTAATAATTATAATAAATTATATATTACATAAATATAGTAGGAACTTGATAATTGATTACTTATTTCATTTTAAGTGTTTTTTTTTGATAATTTTTAAAATATCTAAAATAATGGTTTTTGATACGGATAAATTTATATCTTGTATTCAAAATAACCCTTCCATATGGGAAATTGGATCAAAAGATTATATGGATAGGAACATAAAACAACAAAGTTGGAACACGATTGGCGAATACATGTTTGAAAATTGGAGTGAGCTTGAAGAGCGTGCAAAACAAAATAAAGGTTAAGTTATATTTTATACTTATTATATCATGTAAATTGTAGATAAAAATTACATTATTTAATACATTTAATACATAAATGTTATATTTAAAAATAATTTTTTTCTTAAACTAACATATTTATTTTAAAATTTAAATCATATCATATTGAAAATCAACTGCTCCTGGGCCCATAAAGTAGTTCGCAAAGTAATCCCTTACTTCAACTCCGTCCGATCGAGTTCCTGTTCCACGAGCCTCAATATCTTCAAAGTTGTGCGTTTGAGAATCTTCATAATTTATGCCATCTCTTTTACGAACGAAGTTATGCAATATGCAACACGCTTTTATTATATCGTCGGTAAAATCTGGTTCGACCTGGATAGCCGTATGTAAAACACGCCATTTATTCGCGAGTACTCCAAATGCACATTCAACTGTGCGCCTTGCTCTGGATAATCGATAGTTGAACACTCTTCGGGAATCAGTAAGTTTACGTCCAGGGTATGGCCTAAGTAAATTTTTATGTAAAGCAAACGCTTCATCTCCAATAAATACATACGGTTGTGGATTGGCACTTGTATTTGGTAAAACAACTGGTTCTGGTATGTTCAATTTGTCTTCATATAATTGTTTACCAAAAGCGCACTCCTTGAACACATTAGAGTCCCCTTCACGACCATATGAACCCACATCGATTACAACAAAATTTAAATTGGCGTCCACTACTGCCATAAAAACGATTGAGAAATACTTTTTATAATTAAAATATAATGAACCGGAGTCATTAGGATTTTTACACCTTATATGTTTTCCGTCTATTGCTCCTAGACAATTTGAAAAATTAGTTTTCGTATAAAATATATTTGATATTTCCACCCAATCTTCAGTGGTCGGTTTAGGCATCTCTTTTGAATTCAATGTTAACCATATCACTTTACATGTGTCCTTTACAATCACTCCAATCGTACTTCTTCCCACACAAAAATCAAATTTTAATGCGGAGAAGCATGTACCAGTTGATAAATATCTAAGAAACACGAAATAATTAATTAATAAATACATTTTGATTGGTAGCCTTTTAGATTCTAATTTCTGATTTTAGAGTTTTGTAATAATTAAAAATGTACCAGATGTTTAAATTAGCATTTTCTTTACATAAATAATTTTTTCAAAATATTTCGCTTACTTTAAGCTATTTTTAGGCAAAAATAGCTAATGCATAGGCACAGTTTTTTTTTCATAAGTTCAAATATTATAAGAATACCCACGATGCGAAATATGTGCGACTTTTATTTCTGATAATATATGATAGGTTAAAATCCAAATTTTAATTTAAACTAATTTGATTATTTATTTATAATAATAATATAGAATAAAAATTAATATAATTGTAGTGACAGACTTGAAAACCAAATGGAGACACATAAGAGACCATTACTCAAAATTTATAAATCAGGGGAAAAGTGGTGATAGTGCTAAAAAAAAAAAATATGTATATGCAGAATCACTCTCATTTCTGCAGCATGTAATCAAAAAGAGAAGGTGATTATATTAATATAATTATATTTAAATTTATTATTATTATTATTTTAGATTCTGAACGAAGTGATGAATGTATTGATTTTACAATGATATGTTTTTTTTTTTTTGTGTCTGTCGACAACATTTAGAGCAGTAAAAATGCTTCGATTTTTGACTTCAGCCCCTTTTTGAAAAGGAAATTGAATCTAGGTGGTACTTTGGGGGGTCAATTTGAAGTTCAAATTTTGACAAGATCTCGTCAAAATCATGAATATTAATTGCAAATTATTTTGTAGTTCAAAATTCATAAAATTATTTATATTTATATCTAACGTTAAATATTCTAGACTGACAAATCATCTCCGTTCAGAAACGTTTTTCGTATACAATGATACCTATCATTGCATTCAAATTTAACCTACCCTAGTCCGAGGTCCACCCCACCCCCTAATGTACAGCAGAGCGATACCCGCTTGCCGACTTTTTTTTTTTATATTTAAATTTAAATTAAATTTAAAAAAAAATGTTTTGACAAAATGTTAATTTTGTAAAAATATTTTAATAAAAAATTGTAAAATGTAACAAATATTAAAGTTAACAAGGTATATTTTCTGGGGGTGCTAAATCTTTGTCAGGGGAGGCTAAGCTCTCTCTACTTCCCCTCCCTAGTTCCGCCAAAGCGCCTACGAATTGTTTCAAATGTAATGAGAACTAAACGAATTATTTTCTATTTACTCATAGAACGACAGGTAATTTTGATGAAAATGTACATGAAGAAGGAGAAGGAGAAAATATCAGCGGAGAAGATTCGTCACACGAGCTAGAGATATATGATGAAACTATACCAGCTCAATCGGATAGATATTCTACTCCAAAAAGTAAAAAACAAAATAAATGCAAGGTACAAAAAATAACACAATTTCAAAGAGAATTATTAAAAAATTTATCTACTTCCGAGGAAGATGTCACATCTGATCCTGATAAGGCATTTTTATTTTCCTTATTACCCGATTATAAACGTCTTAACTATGAGCAAAAAACAGATTTTCGTCTCATGACTTTACAGTATTTTAGGAACATATCATTAGGATCTAATCAATTACAACCAACTCCGCCATCTTATAACATTAATCAAAACACTACTCGAATTCCCCCGATCCAAACTCAATATTCAAATGTATATTCTTCAGAGTTCAACCCTGGTTTGGGGTACAATCAAAATCATAATCTTATGCCACAACGCCCACAACCCTTGCCATATACTAGCTCATATAATTATACATCTGATCAATCTCAACAACCTAATACCAGTGGAGAAATGTACGGAAATTTTGATATTATAAATAAGTAGAGGTAGGTAATAATATTATATTTACTGCAATTTAAAAGGCGTGTTGTTTTATTTTTAAACAGTTTTATTATTATTTTTATTTTTTTTAAATATTTAAATAACAAAGTTTGTTATACAGTAAAATATATTATATTGTGTTTATAATGTACTTAATGATATTTAAAAAGGTATGTTATATTTTAATTTTTATACGGTATGACATTATTATTTTTTATTATTTTTTTTTTACAAATTTTAATAACAAAGTTTGTTATACAATATACAGTAAGTATTATATTGTGTTTTTAATGTATTTAATTTTTAAAAATTATATTTTATCTTAAATGAAAATTAAATACTACATTTTTTCTCATTGACTGTTTATCTGTTAACCTATTATCTACAGAAGTTATGTTTTAAAATAATTATTTTTAATTCATGATAACTAAGGATGATTATTGTTTACTTATTAAAATAATCATAAATCTCACGTTGAAAAACTCAACTTATAGGTATGTATTATAAAAAAAAAACTTACCTTATAGTAATTGTAAGACGTTCTTCAGCAGATATCGGATTACGAAATTCTGTTGTACTTTTTGTTATATGTGGCCGCAGTGTTTTTAGCAATTCATCAAAGCTGGAGATAGACATACGGTAATACTCAAAGAATTTGTCAGGATATTGTCTAATATTTTCAAAAAATGTCCTAAACTGGCCAATTTTCTCACGATCCATATTTAGTGGGTGTACCCAATACCTTCTTTGTACTTTCGGTGGATCTAATAAGCCTAATGCTTCAGCTACAGCAACAACTTTAATCTTTTTACGATTCATTTTTTTAATCTATTTAATTATATTAGATATTATATATTAATAAATTATTAAGTATTATATAACTAATATTGAATATATGTAAAAGTGCAAGTGCTAATAACTATTAAGTAATACAGGGTGCGGCATAATGGACTCCCACATTTCCGAAGTGAATTAAAAAAAAACGATACAAGATAAAGAAAAAAAATTTTTATTTTTAAAAACTATATTATATAAGGTTTTTTTAAAATTATTTTTTAAAAATTATATCGTCTAAATGATTGCCTTGACGAGCAACGCACATATGGAGCCGTTCTCGAAAATTTTCCATCACTTTCGCCAGCATATCGAGTGGAATCGCGGAGATTTCTTGACGGATGGCCTCTTTTAGTTCTTCAATGGTTCTTGGTCGATGTTTGAAAACTTCAGCTTTGAGGTATCCCCATAAGAAATAATCACATGGGCTCAAATCAGGGGAGCGAGGAGGCCATTTAATGTTTTCCCTTAAAGAGATCAAGCGACCAGGAAACATTTTTTGCAATACAGCACGAGAACAACGGGCTGTATGAGCTGTGGCCCCATCCTGTTGAAACCAGAAGACATCATTATTTTCATACTCTTCGATTTTCGGGCGTAAAAAGTTCTCCAACATCTCGCAGTACCGGTTGGAAGTCACAGTAACTGTAACATCACTCTCTTCAAAAAAATAAGGCCCCACGATGCCTACCGAGGACAAAGCACACCAAACTGTTACTTTAGGACTATGAAGAGGTCGTTGGTGTATTTTTAGAGGGTTTTCAGCAGCCCAATAACAAAAATTTTGTTTGTTCACTGTGCCAGAAATGTGGAAATGTGCTTCGTCGCTACTCCACACAATACCGTTGGGAGGCACAACTTTAAGGATTGCATTACAGCAATCTTTTCGTTTTCCCCAATCTGTTGGACTTAATTCCTGAGTTACCATAATCTTATATGGGTGTAATTTAAGATCACAGTGCAAAATTCGCCTTACCGTTCGATCCGATATCCCGAGAGCAGAGGCATGTTTCCGAGCAGAACGCGACGGAGACTGCTCTATCGATGTTCTTACTGCGGCAATGTTTTCCGGTGTTCTCACGGACTTGGGACGTCCAACCGGTTTTTTAGGCATTGCAGATCCCGTTGCTCTTAAATTTTGTACCCAATTCAAAATCGTTTTCCGATCAGGGACACTTTCGTTTGGATTCAAACTGAACCGAGTGCGAAATGCTCTCTGTGTCGCGATCACACATTCAGCGTTTTTGAAAAATGCCTCAATAACGAAACCACGTTGTTCACCAGACCACGGCATGATGACGACTAAAAACCTTATTAATAATCTAATCTAGCGAAATAAACCACTTTAATTTAATCAGTTTAATTACGCGCTAATGATTATTTGAAATATGGGAGTCCATTACGCCGCACCCTGTATAACTTACTTACTTACTTATGACGTGTTCAAAAAGTAAATTACACAAGTAGAAGTACACAAAAATATTATAATTTAGACACACTTAAATTATTATATAATTTATATAGTTATAACTGACGAGTAATATAATAAAATAACACTGCATAAAACAAGTAAGTAATATAGGTTTACCATCAAAGAGCGTAGGGACGTTGAATGTGATGCAATAGCAAAATATTGTTGATTACAAATTTGAAGACTAGCGGTGACATTTGGAACTTTGAATGCAGCGGCGGGAACATTTTTAAGAACAAAAACGCATAGATGTGACATGGTCAAAGCCATCCGGTCAAAACGCATCCAGTTTAACCGGACCCGCCAAAACGCATGGTGTGGCAGAAGCCTAAATGTAATATTTTTGGAAAAATATAACATGGTGAAACTCTGACAGATCGCCTCCGTTCTTAATCGTTTTGCATATATTATAATAACATATTTTAAATTTAATAAACCCATAATAGTGATCCACTTGATGTTTAGTATAAAATTTAGAATGGTACCTCCTTGCATATTTATTTTTTTTAAATTAAATTAAAATAAAATATTTTTATCTTATATTATGTTATAGATACATATCTGTGTGAATTTATTGTTGTCATTTTTTTTTTTTATATATATATTATATATTTATAATTTTGGTGAATAAAAAATAAAGTTATGATTAAAAATTATTCATTAACTATAATAATAATTCTAGTATAGCATAACTATGACAGATGCATGTATGTAATTAAATTTTTAATGTTAATATTAATACAATAAATGTTATTAAGAATAAATATACATAAGAATAAATAAATAATAAGATAATGCGCGGCCGACTACATTTAATTTAACTATTTGACTAAAATTAATTCGTATAATAGTTTAAACGTTTTTAGTTTTTCAATTCAAATAATAGTTTTTTATCGACTATTTAAGAACTTATATTAATATCCTCAATGAGTCATCAACCTCATTAAATCTTTTTTTTAATTTCTTACACATTAGTTTATTACATATTATTATTTAGATAATATATTATATATTGTAGACTGTAATAGTTTAATAAGTATAGCGTATTTGCATTGGTGTCTATGTCGTACTAATATATATCATATCAATCACAAAGAATTGCAACAATAAAAGCCATAAGATTTTTAAAATATTATAGTCAATAAAAAATGTACAGCTAGATTCACCCCAAAAATTACCACGAATCCGCATGATATCCGTATGTTAATATTTTTAAATTTTTTATTTCATACGTAGTTTTAATAACACACTTTGCATAAATCTCGTATACATTTTTAATACTAAAAAGATGATGCATTTAATATGATCACCTTATTGCTATACGACTAATTAATATTCGATATTAGTGATATTACCGAGATATAATGTAATATTGTTGGTATAGTAACAGTAAGTATACCAACTTAAGATACTCAATCAAAGTGCGTTAACTAAATAAATCCTAATTATGTATATGATTCGTACTTTTATAATATATTCATTATTTCTTTGCAAAATTTTACCTGCATTATACATAATATATTATATATATGTATGCGTGTATATATTGTTACATTTTCTTTACATTAGGTTCGATTAAAAATACAATAATTTCATGCTTTTTGACATTTTAACATACATTTTATTCAATAACCATAAGTCTTGAAAAAGATATTCTTTAGGTATTTGAATAGTAAATTGGAATTTTAAATATTTCCAAAATAAAGCATAATTCATTTACACTATATTATCATATTATACATCACTATACAAATGTGTGAAAATCAAAGCATTCCTATTTAAACTTTAGGTTTCTATCTAGAACATAAACAATAGAAATTTGAATGTGTCTTAATAGCCTTGGAAAAAATCACAGGATATCTAATTTATTTTGTTTAATTGTACACATAATATAATTGTAGCACTCAAAAAGGTCATTCAAAACTAACGCGATCCTATACCATGCAATTATGATCACCAAGTTTACAGCTTATAGTGATAAACAATTATTTTAACCACAATTATTCATAAACGACCGTGATTTGTTATTTCATATTTTTTAAATTATCATCGGATCAGTTAACACTCGAAAGTTAGCAATAGAACAATACAATGTATTATATTATAATTTATATTATTTTTGTGTAATTAGGAAAATGTATATTATTAAATGATAAACCATACATATATATATATATATATTATGAATTAATAATTATTAATATAATTAATTTTATATGTGTGTTTAATGTTTATAGTAGATACCCAAATCATTATATATTTTTTTCCTCGATATTTTTGCAATAATTTTAATTAATCAGTCTTTAGTCTTATTCTTTATTATTGTATTGTTAAACTAAAGTTTTCGACCACCCATACATAAAGTCTTTAAACTATTTGTTGATCCATTATTGTAATAACTATATAAGTAATCTCTACTCAAAACTAAAAATTATTATATTGTACATCCAATAAAATTCAATGAGTCATCAAATCAACAAGTCTACTCTGATATATAATTTTGTTTAATATACGTTCGTCTGACGAACAATAATTTATCATTGAAATATAATCATACCAATATAAATTATAGACTATTATTATTGTAAAACAAAATTGATATTCATAAAACATATATGTGTATTAAGTATACTATTAATAATATTAATTATATAATACGTTTTACATTAATGATGCTGTTTTACTATGTACAATGTACATGTTGTATATGTTGTACATGTATATAGATTCCTATGATTGAAAATGATCAAATTTTCTGTTAATGATTATCATACCTAAATTAAGCTTTTGTAACCAAAAAAAAAAAAAAAAAAATCAGTATTAATAACTAATAATTAGTTAAATAGATAAAACTAAATATCTAATTCTACATCATTATCTTATAATCATTAACTGACTTATTCTTGTTACTAAGACCATATAAAAATAATCATGCGTTAATAACATTACATTTATAGTCATATTTTAAACTGAATAAACGAGTTATGCATTATATAAATCCTATTAAATTTATAATTTACCATTTAAGAGCCATAAAACAAGAGGTAAATTGAACGTTGCTTAGCAAGCTAGTTAATTATGATGTTTTAGTATGAGTTGGCATTAATAAATGATTATGAAATATTGAACGAATGACCGAAAATAATAATCGAGATCCTTGAAAACTAAGATGAATTATTTCAATGGAAAACCTAACCTAAGATTTGTAGAAAGAGATGATCATATAATAACTATAGTACATTTAAATAACAAATTTATAATAGTGATTTAAATAATTAGGTATATAAAATTATTTTCAACATAATAGGTTATCTAACTTAACTTATACATAGATTTAAGTTTGTAATTTTTTATTTAAAAAAACCAATAATATGTATTTCTGAGTATTTTTAGCCTCAATACCCCATAGATTCTCCTCATTAAGTACCCCATAATATTAATGGTAATGCAGCACAACAAATCATAACAAATAGATAATATTAAAATGTATAAATAATGTATAACTATTATAGAAAACAAGTGCTTAATCTGAAAAATGTGTAATAGATTTTCATCGATAATTTTCAAATTTTAAAAGATAATAAAAATATATACGTGTTTATTAATTGATTTGTCAGCACTGCGTCACGATAATAATGAATAACACAGTATAATAATATATAGTAAAATGTGAATACCTACGCTATATGCGTTGATGGGTAAGCCGCATTAGTTCATTATGGTTTGTATAAAATTATTATTTAGAGACCGTAAAATTTCCGTTTTAATAATGACAGTCATAAAATTGAATACAAAAAAAAAAAATTGTTCAACTTATTGTGCGCTTGTGTTGTAATAATAAGATTGAAATGTCACCTTCTATTGTCAGTAAAAAAATATATATTAACGTTAAAACGTGAAAGGTATTTAAACTGAACCAATAAACTATCGATTAACAGTTTAAACATAAAAAAAGAATATGAAAAACATCATAAAACATAATTGTATAGATTATTAAATGACATTATACATACATAGTCTACTTATAGTAGTAATATATTATTAAATATGTATACACTATAGACTTTAGTATAATAGCTCATATTATATATATTACTATTTATAACAGTATAGATACTATATATGATGTTATCCAGAGACATTAACGCACGAACCATGAATAAATTAAAATACTATGCTATTGTTAAATCGATTGTTAAAATAAAAAATATGTCAAACTACATAATAAATAATTTTCCAGTAACAAAATACTTTTAATCGTAAAACTTAATAGAACAATATTATTTTATCAAACATATTATTATACATTATTATTGCTGTACGTATGATGATCTCATTATTCTTAATTTTTCAAATTCGTTATCAGTTATTAGCTGATAAGTTGTTCGCCATATCTACGGCTGTGTGTGGTATATTATCATAATATCTACACTTTTGTTTACTTAATAATATATTTACATATATGTATAGCATATTATCAAAGTCTATGAAATCAGTAAAAAAAAAAACTTAAAATGTTGTTGATGTAGGTACCACGTTCTGAACTCGTATCGCAATAATGTACACAATTATAAATAAAAACATGTGTACATATTTATAATTTTATTTCGTGTTTAATTTAATTTCTGAAGTCTTAACAATTATTTGTTTAACACATAAATACATAAAATGTAAAATCCTTGACTCGTTACGCTGAAATAAGTCCATTACCAACAGCTAATAGTTTTACTGAATGGCCCACGATTCAAAAATATCAGTCCTCCCTCCAAAAAAAAAAATTAATTAAATTGTACACTAATATAAAATTATGCGATTTATAAACAGTATTGTGATTTATAGATATTGGCAATCATTTTTTTTTTTTTGCATTTTCCTGTAATAATTTTTGTTAATGATACCATTACCTTTTTTTTTTTTGTTGTTGTTGTTGTTCTATTAGTTAAGTATTATAATTCCATAAAACCAATGAATTTATCTTAAACTGAAAGCGATTGAAAATTTTTTATTTTATTTAAGGTATTAATATCAAAAATTATAATAACTTGCATAAAGAGTACATATTTTCAATCTATCTATGTATTTTTAAATTAGACGATATTTCATTTAATGATAGTCTAAAAAATATCGGTAATTTCGTTGATTATTTTAAAATAGATACACATATTTTAATTGGATATTATTTTAGCATGTTTCAGCAAAAGAAAATGCACATTTTACTATTTTAAATTGTACATAATTTCTAGTCATATAATATACTATATGTGTACACACCCTGGGCCTCTATACCGTGTCTGTGATTATAAACTCATATTACATAGAGATTCCAACAGAGGCCTTCGGCTCTTCTCAGACAATTTGTACGCAAACGTATAGGCACCTTTACAAACGTTGGCCTGTTTTTATTTAATGATAAACGATCATTGTTTTAGGACCTGAACGTTGATGAAGACCAACACAAAAAGCGTAAGAACAATGAGAACTGGAATAGCGGTGTACTTGTGTTATGCTGCTGTACATAGTGCTAACGAGAGACCTTCCAGTATTAAATTCATATTAATAAATTACATGATGAGTCATTAATAATATTATATTGGTGTAATATACGAATAGCAAACGGACGTGTATGCGCAGATAATATCGCTCAGACACCATTTTTTTACACACAAATATTATCCTTATACCGGCCGCCGCGGTTCAAGGTTTAATCAATCAAATAAAATAAAAACACACACACATACACAGAATAAATATTATAATATAAAATGTAATATAGGTAGAGATTATATTATCATTATTATTATACAAACGAAAAATGTATGAAAACACATTCTCTTCCGCCGCGCGCATACAATAGGATTCGTTATTATTGTGGTTATTGTTATTAATTTTTTATTGTAGTGCTGTGATTTTTTTATATTTTCGACGCCAACGGTCTATAACGAGCGAACTTAACCGAACGACGCTGACGGGCGATTTATGCGTTATAGTCTTCAGTGTCGATATCTAATCGCGTGACCGCCGTGATCCTAGTGTTCGGGTTCAGAAAAACACATACAAACATACGTTAACTTCAACACTCAAACACACACACACAAACCAACTGTAACACACGCACGCGCGCGATCGCGCCTCTCTCTAACCCACATAATATCCGTCCTCGGCTCGCAATTAATCGTAGTAGTGTATTCTGCTGCTTCCGAGACGTACATTCGTGTGTGGGTTATTAACGTTTGAGACTGCACAGAGTCAGTTTTAATTTTTAATTTTTCATCTTTCGTTTTCAACAACAGAAATAATGGCAAAGTTCGCGATCAAAGCCCTCGTCGTCACCGCACTGGTGTGCCTCGTTTTTGACGTGAGTATTGAACATGGAAATGCATACATGAACCATAGAATATTATACTATATATTAGCGCCATAACTATCATTATTATTGCAGTGCATGACAATAATGTTTCGTTTTATCGACGGACGAATAATTAATGCACCTATATAATAATGTTTTGTAACAGTTCCACAAACGTACATAATATTATATTTTATCCGTTTGCTATTCTGCCAATGGTCTTTTTGTATGGTTGAAGACGATATTTATTGCGATGCACTACATATATTATAAATATATTATATAGGTAGGTATACATTGTGCATATACACGAATAAACTTAAAATTCTGTATACAATAATATTAAATTCTACCTATAGGTACATAATTTTACCATAATATTCAATTTTTTTTCGAATTTCATTGAATAATAATATTGTACAATTTATGGCATTATTTATTATTTGTGATCGTTTAACATACATAAAACAATGTTAAATGAACGTCGATTTGCCATCATAACGTGGACACACAACCGCGTCTGTTTATGTGCGCACATTACTATCGCACGAAGACGAACTCGTTATTATTATTATTATTATTTTATCGATCAGATTGACTTAATTTTAAGTTTTCTTTTTATCAGTTCTATTTGTTCCTTTTGACCTCAAACCATACAAAAAGCCCATTTTTAAGTTTTTACTCGCATGTGTTAATAATACAAAACGAGGTGTGCATTACTTACAAATAAATACCCAAAAATTTTAAAATAAATTAACTTAAACAAAAAATTACTAAAATATGACTTTTTGAAAAAAAAATAGACATTCTATTTTTGTATAAGTACTCATTTAAATATTATCCATTATTTATTGATTATTATTATTGTAAATATTTCATTTATACCCAACATAAGACAGGCACATACTTGTATTCAGTTCGTGATAAATTTGATGCTATAATAGACACTATTTGTATTATATTTTGAGTTAGGCCAAATAAACTTTACTGTATTTATTAAATTGGTACGACCATGATAATTATCATTGTTTTAAATTTAACTTTTATCGCACGTTCTTATTTTACCAAATATATTGTGTAGGTTTACGAAAAATAATAATCGTAATCAGCCAATTATTATATTCATTCGTTGGCCTAATTTATGAGTATTAATTACAATATAACATAATAATACTATGAAACGGTTTTCATTAACATTTTAATATATAAATTCATCTATTAAATAAATCATTATTTTTACCAATCATTAAATAATTTATAATATATCCAACGACAATTTATTTAAATTTTTCGACCTTGCTATTCGATTTTTCACAATAGAACAATGTTTCAACAAGATGATTTCATAATAAATATTTATGATGGTTAATTTTACTTTTTCTCTTATTCAAAAATTATACTAAACATGAGTATAGATACCTACCTCAAACACAAGCATTTATAGACAGCAATCAAATTCCATGTATAGTTTTTTCAACTATATTATGTAGACGTATAATATATGCACGCCGTTTTAGTATTTTTACTTCAAGTGTAGCAAATAAATTATTATAATTTTAATCTTTTCTCATAAAAAATAATTTTTTTAGTTACAATAGTACTTTATACACTTATATGTTATACGTGATATTACATAAAATTTCTCAACTTTAATTGAAAATTAATACTATATTAATAACTCTGAATTCTAATTAAAACCATAGGAAATATCTTCAAAATATAGTTCCATTATACCTTGACGCTTTATTTATAATATCATACTATTTATTAACTATTAAAATATTCAAAAATAAAATAAAATAACATGCTTGATGCTCCAACTGAAATGGTCAATTTATTACAATAATTTGATAGGCATCGCCCATCAAACAAAGTAGGTACAAAGCATGTTTTTATTTATTTTTAATTTAAAAACTTGAGTATGAAGCAAGACTTCTATTGAGACAACTTGTGATGGTTTCATGAGTAAATTTATCGTCGTCTATAAAAAAAAAAATTATCATTCTATAACACATTTAAATATTTAATGGTCATCATTTATAAGATAATTTGTGTACATAAATTATGAGTACACACCTATGATTTATTAAAATTTATTATTAATACCTATTATAGCGTATTTATCTGTGCTTTTCACTATTTCTGTAAATACAAACATAACACATACACGAATATATAACATCTATTTTATGTACATATAACATATACAATCATTGCATTTTTTGATAAATAAAATAGTTTTTAATTATTATATGATTATAAAAGTGTAAAAAAATCAAGAACTTTTAATCCAAACGATTCTTCTACAAAATGCATGTATACATACTTTGAAATACCTTAAATTATCAATTTTCAATCACGCGCATAAATAAAATAACTAAATAATACTCGTGTGAAATATAAACCATATTGAGTGGTTTGAAGAATAATTATGGAAATACTAAATATTATAACAAATAATAAAACAATCTTTACATCTATATAACCGTGGTATTATGGATACCCATAAAATATATGTATGTGTCTCAAAAGTTAATGGAATATTGACCACCCTATCAGATAATGTTAATTCAACGCAAAATTCCCAAATCAGTCAAATGTATAATAGTAACCAAGCAAAACGAAAATAATAATACATCTCCACATAATTTGTATTCGGACATTTGGTACAGCATTTCGGACAGCAACAACGTCCAACGATTTAAACAATGAAGCAAAACATTAAATATTATGTCAGTCGACTGGCGACGGGCGACAGTGACTGCGATTTATCTCTATTCATAATTTTATCATCTGCAAAAAAAGTCAAAATTTTTTATTTATGAATTATACATCGAAATAAACGATGTAAAGATGCGGCGAGATTTGCAAAATATTTCGATGAGCCCGTATATTATAATAATACTCGGGACGGCGCATAGTAAATCGGTTGGAATTAATTCATTTGCTGCATATAAAACAAACCAAAAATCAACGTCAACGTAATCGCTGAAATTTTCCGGATGATTTTTTTTCAGTAATAGTATATAAGTTTATTGTAAACAAATTGTATGCGATTTTAAACCTTCTAATCAAAATTGCTCCAATCTCGAAAAACTTATACGTTGTTTAGCATTGCGCATGTACTTCAATTGATTTTATAAATTTTACTACATCATACGTATAAACTAATTTTATCTAAAGCAATTGAAAATTCTCAAATTTGTACAAGCTCAAACGTAAACATTCACTTTTAATTTAGAATATGAACTCTGATAAATATTGACAAAAATATTTGTATTTGTTGTAATACCGTGTTGATAATAAAAAAAACTAAACAGTAAGACTGTGATAAAACTTAAAATGAATCCCGTGTTTTGGTATTTTACAATAGTGTATACCTAACTCAGACTAAACACCCAAAAATTGATTTATTTTAGATTTTAACCAACATATTCTCGTATACCATAGTTACGAAAAAACATGCTATATTACAATACAATCGAATCCATGAGTTGTGTAATGGCGTATGTGTAATTTCATAGACATATGACTGCATTCTCATAGCAATATAATGTAAAGAAAAGCGCACTATTGACTATTTTAGTAGAAGACGCTTTTACAGGTTCGATTTTATTTTCCAAAAAATAAAAAATAAAATAGATAATAGTATTTTTTATTAGGTATATAGTAATTTTTAATGGTCAACATAAGTTAAAATTCAAATATGTTAAATTTTAACAATTCATTTTTAAATTAATCAGATTCACTGCGAAAAATAATAGATTACAGATACAAGGACCAAATTATACACATAGATAAATTCGAGTTGTTATACAAACCTATCCCTATATAACATAGGTGGCCAATTTGCGGCTCGCCACCCACATGTGGCTCTCGCCATTGTCAAATGCAGCTCGCGTTTTATTTACAAAATCAAAATTTACTTAATATTATTATAAATTTTAATTTTTAGGTATTAGCTTATAAAAAATTATCAAATTATATAAACATTTTGGCTCTTGGTATCATTGTATTTATCTATGTGGTCCGCGAACCTATTCATGTTGGCCACCCCTGTTTTATAATAACAATTAATTTATAATATAACAAGAATATTTTATGTATATAATAATATCGTTCTTATTTTTTATGTTGCATATTTATTTTTCATTAATTCGATTTGTTGATTAGAGCCTAGTAAAAATTATTTAGAAATAAAATCAAGTAGGTACCTATATGACTTATAAGTGGGCACCCATATTATTAAAATGAAATAAAGCTGTCTGCCGACTGGTGTTTACGAGTACGGGGGAAAAAGAAAAAACGTCGGGTAATAGATAACTCCACGAGATTTTCTTTGGGGTGACCCTAAGGCCTACTGGTATCTATTGTTTTTTACTTTTGTTTAGGACTATTTCGGAGTTCACTCCCATCTCGCTAATAATAAAAAACTTTCGTTTTTAAATTCAACAGTCTTACACTAGTTTAATGGTTTAGCAAAGAAAAAATATTTTGATTTTACTTAGCTACTCCGTACTCGGTATATACAGTGAGAGATAATGGGAATAATTAATACTGAATATTGTTTAGGGGCAAAATGTTTTTTCAAACACAATTAGGTTTTAGTATTAAACAAGAAATTATTATCGTAATTGAATGCAAATTAAAGTATTCGAGAGACGAGAGCACACAGTGATTATGTAATACACATTTATGTATACCGTGTAATGTGAATAGAACAGACGAATAGCTATTATTGTGTACTTGTATCCAAGTAAAATAATAATCGAAAACAATTAACAACGATAACTATACTAATAATGTCATTGCAATATCAATCTGACAATTAAATTACAAAATACTATAATACATAATATAAAATACGGTCGAGTTTCGTGTGACTTTTAGCGTACCATACAAAACAATGGATGCTAACGTGTTGTATAACACTATTAAAAAACAAAAAAAAAAAAAAAAAAATGTTTCTTCGGTAGGTATTGGTTCCCTTTTCGGTTTCGATTATTCGACACACTCGAATTAAATAAGACGTGTCGAAATGTAATAGTATATATAAGTGTACATGGCGAGGAGATCGTTATTGTTTAACATATTCACCATAATATTACAATATAATATTTTATACGTAGATTTAAATAATATAATTCAATACGAATAAATACTCCGGTGAGATTATTAAAATGCGTTCATATCGAATATAACGACAAATTCGAGACACGACGATAAGCGTGCGCGGAAAAATCGCGATGACCGAAATCCCGCGCACGGCGTAATGCGATGATGTCCGCAAAAGCGAATTCCTGTCGTCCGTCGCGTAATCGCGTAATAATTGTAACTGTGTAGATTGTAGATACATTATGGAGTCATTTGATAGATAAACACACGACTGCACAATTTTGTACGTATTAAACTTTTCGTTTATTATATCATGCGAGTATCTGCAGTGGCTTGAATCAAGTGTACAACACAATACATGTCATGTGCGATTGCAATTATTATATTATATTTATACGTGCGTGGAATTTAAACGAAATAGTAGGGTTTTCTTTTCTCTTTTTTTTTTTTTTTTTTTGTTTCTCCTGTTGAATTTAAAAAGAAAAAACAGAATCCAAAAAGAGTCGTCTGGTTTGTTTTGATTATTTAGTGTGGCCGCGCAGCGGACACGCAACAACAGACGGGACTGGATAGTCTGCAGGAGTCGGCTAAGGGCAAGATGACCGAGTTCATGAATTCGTTCAAGCAAACCGCATCGGAAACGTTCAACAAAGTGCAGGCGGCGGTTAAAGAGCCGGAAAACACCAAAAAAGTCGAATCGCAGCTGAGCAGCTTCTTTAGCGGCGCGCTGACCAAACTGAAGAACACATTCAGCTCGACTAAGACCAACCCGGACGATTTGACCAAACAGGAAGCCATCAAAGCGTTTGACGATTACGCGATAAAACATCCGAAATGAGCCGGCTAATAATACTAATTTCGACAGGAATAATATAACATGAACGATTTTAATATAACAATGCTTTTAATATGTATAATATACGATATTATATGTGACTGCGATATTACATAGGTTAGATATTTTATATTTTTAAATTCCATGTGCACCAACTTTCAGTAAACAATTGTACAACGATCGATTTATATATAAGTACATCTTAAGTAAGTTTCTCTGTAAATCAAAAATTTTAAATTGTTAATAAAATCGGTATCCAGTCGAATTTTATGATAATGTTTTTATTTTTGTTGTTGTTGTTGTTGTTGTTAATTTCGTCTTCGTAAACATAACCGGTAACCATATAATTTATTAGATTTGTAACAAGTGTGTACTGTATATTAATTGTCGTGATAACAGTATAACCAGTAACTTCAACGACGTATTGAAATTTATAAACTACGCGATTGGGTGATGTGTTTATAAATGGTGATATTAAATTATTTAAATTAACTCAAACATTTTCAAAAGAATAAAGTGTAGGTTAGATACAACATATATTACTTTATAGCTACAATTCAAATGATGACTTTACGCGTATCTGCACAGAGACAATTTTTACGCATATAACATTATAACATAGGAAAGTACGAATAGCATGAATTTTGTATGTACTTATATATTTAGCAATATTAATAATACCTGAAAATAATCATAATTATAATACAATATTATGATATACCTATTAATTATTATGCATATGTGTATTGTAGTAATAAAATCACTCTCTCTCAGATTTCAAAATATAATCATTTGCAAGAAAATAAATAATAAGATTATTATTTAAGTATATATTTCAGGCAGTTAATTTTTCATAGCGGCCATAACACGAGCTAAAAATAAAAATAAAAATCGAACTATTTCGACGATGAATAATAAATACGTTTTCATATTGCTATAAAAGTTATTCCTTGCAGCCTTAATCAAAATTTAATTTTAATAAATAATTAAAGTTAATTGAATAAAAGTCTCACAAAGAACAATATAATTTTTACCTTCTGCTGATTTACGCTTTTAAATATGTATAAAAAAAAAAATAACATCATTTTACGAGAGTCATTACAACAAGACTGAGAAAAAGTGTTGGATGTCGATTTGTACGTTTTAGAATTTTAATAAATATAATTTAGAGCTTAATCTATAATTGTGTGCTAATTTGTTTCTAATTTATTATTAATAAATCTATAACAAATAAATACAATTCACAAACACATATTATTATTACTATTATTTGATACATACCTATTTACACATGTGTCACTGTGTAAATTACATATTTCTTAATTATTCAACTTACTCGTACGTTTATTATATTTAAAAGGAGTACCAAAATACTTCAATGTGCTAGAGAAAAAAAATGAAGCATAAAAATCTTTACATTTAGTATTCTATACATTTTGCTTTATGAACGATAATATTATGTAATAAATAATAATAATCACTTTTAATCATCCATTAAAAACACTATGAGCCACTCAATACGTAAATTTTGTGTAGATGAATTCATATTTTCTCTGTCTGAATATAAATAATACGTAAATAATATTACAATATTTTACCATACATCAGTGCATTGCACATAATATTATTATAAACAATCTATAATGATGAAAGTGAGTAAACAACATTGCTATGAAATAATACGAAATATAGATAAGTTTAATTATATAAGTTTTTGGTTCAAAAAGCCATGGTATTCCAACATGGTAAGTTCTTATTAGAACCGAAGAAAAAGATTAAAACTTCAAGTATGGCATAAAGTATACTGGCTCTGTATGTCAAACATTATAAAACCACGGAACGTTGACGATTTTCGGTTTTCATACGCGTCGAACGAGATGAATAACATTCTCATAACTGTTGAGATTCAACCTGATACCTACTGAATATATAAATTATAATAACACACAAAAACTTTCATTGTAATTAATCACACGTCATACTCTAAAACCATTCACTCGCGTCTTGCAGTCACCACATCAATTAACTTCATCTTTATCACAATATAACCTTCTTGTGTTTATATTTTTTTTACGCATAATATACTTGTCTATATTAATGTACCTAATACTATCTATTGTATAAAAATATAATAAATATTTTAAAATTATTAAGAATCTTTAAAAATATATATTTCAAAAATAAAAAGCATTTTTTGAAGAAATGTAATAAAAAAAATTGTTTTTCAGGACTACACAGTTTTAAATCATCCACATGGACATGATGTAATATGAAAAAATTATTTTTATTTTTATTTCTCTGTTTGTGTTATCAATTTTTACTTTGTACAAGTCCGTTAAAAAAACTACAAATGAAAAATAATAATATTCGATTAGGAAAAAATCTTGTAAGTGCGTATAAAGTTAAATACTCATTTAAATTGAAACTTTTAAAAACTTAGATTTTTATATTAAATACCCTAAAATTCTAAAATATTCCACAAAAATTAAAATTGTCAAAAAAATATGCAAAATAAAAATTTCTTATTCTGATTGAAACATACATAAAAAGTATGAACGTATATTATAAAATAAGCATTTCTGGCATCAGAAAACAATGCAAAGTACATCGAAATCCTTCCCTAATAATAATGATTAGGCATCTATAATGTATACGACGTGTACCACGTCCGTCACACCAGTGTTATCTATGTAAAATATAATCACAAGAGTATCTATGAAGTTGTTTTGTATTGTTTTGTGTAGTTGGCCGCGTCCGATAACAGTCAACAGCATCATCAAAACGAGGACTTACACCAGCAGATGGCCGGGCACGTCGACAAGGACACATCTGCGGAGACCACGCCGTCACCCAGCACGTTCAAGGACAAGTTCAAGGGATTCGTGAGCAGCGTCAAAGAGGGAGCGTCCGAAGCGCTGGACAAACTGGACGAAAAACGCAAGGAAGCGGTTGCCGGCACTAAGAAGCTGGTGAATGGCGCCATCGACAAGATCAAGCACTCGTACGACTCGTTAAAGAACGGCAACTCCGAGGAGAATGTACCAAGGGTTCCGGATTCGTCGTCGGAAGAACATGTCAAGAACGCCGCCGACAAAGCTAAGGAAGCCAAAGACGCTGTTGTCGACAAGACTCAGAACTTCATGAAATCCGAATAATTCAATTGATGACCCGTCATATATATACGACCCACCAGCTCTCCAATCACACTACATATTATGTTGTGATAATAATATATCATATCGCATTATAATATTATTATTTATTACTTTTTTCATGTATTAATAACAGTCACATATTATGTTATAAGCTTCCTCGAGAATCCCGTGACAATATTTTTTGTCTATCGACAGTGCCCATAATCGCGTTACAATATATGATGGTAATATTAGCCATTTGAACAGTAAGATCGCCTTGTAATTATGCATGTAACGCGTTCTGCGGTAGATTGTTTTCCATTTTTACCTTTAAAACTTCCAGTACATTTTAAAACGTATTATGTTAGCACGATATGCATAAGCCGACAATATTGTTACTGTTAATATTGTCAATATATTATTAATATTAGCATTACTCTTTATTTTATGTTAAACAATAATTATTATTACTATGTATGCATAAACGTCAGATTTTATTTAATATTGCATTATTTTTTCAACAAAATATATTTACGTATCTGTTTTTACTTATTTTAAAAGTTTTTTTTGTTTATTCCGACAGAGAAAGTGTGTGTTGAAAATGGAACTTAATATATTATTATGTCTTCCGAGTCTGAACAAACAATTAAATTTAATACAGAACTCATTTCGTACTGCATTACAATATTATAAGCCATACACAAGAAACAAGAAAGTCTACAGACTAGTTAGACTTTAAAAAAATCCACAAATTTGGAGAATATTTTTTTGATATATCGTACCTATCCATAAGTTTTATTTCTATAATTTGGTATTTACATTGAGTAAAATCACTATAAGTACTTGGATTTTGTTCACACAACTTAAACACCAAATTAATTAATTTAAATTATATTGTTTTTACAACGTAAAGTTTAATAAACAATGTAGTTAAGTCAAGTCGAATCTCGTCAATTGGAACACGTAATATGATAATCTCATACGTGTTACGCCTGTTAATTCATTTTCAGTGATAAAACAAAAAAAAAAATCCAGACATATACCTGCTTAAAATTAATTTTCATAACCTGCCCCTGCCATATATTATTAATATTATTATGCTTTATGCATATCATAATTGTTAAATCATATTCATGTCGAAATACCATGAATTACATAAAACCACTCACCGACTTTCCAACCAATCAAAAAACTTCTGGTTATATAATTTACCCCAGTTATCAGTTGGTACCTAAGAATTCAATGCCACTACGGAGTACATTAAATCGATTGAAACAAATGTTATAAAATATCAATCAACGATATTTTTGTTTTCAAAAATATTTTGGTTAATGCTATATTTCCATCATTGTCTAATATTATGCAAAAAAAAAAAAAATCAAATAATTAAAGTTTTTTATTTATTAATTCTAATAATTTTACAATAAGTAACATTTCCAATATTATACTATAGTAGTATAGTCTATACTATGTACATGTTGCATTATCGAGACTCTTCTGTGTAAATAAAACAATCGCTTTGATATTAATTTTTAAACAACATTTGTAATATAATCCATATAATTCTTTATTTCCTATAAATGTATACTAAATATAACAACACGCTTTGTTAAGAAACAAAAAAATATCTATTAAAAATACTATTATAAATGATTAGTATTTTGCCATAAATCAACAATAATTATTAGTTTACACACATCCTATGTTAATCTAAACAACTGTTAAGACCTACTAAACGTTTGACTCATTTACTGCGAAAAATAATGATGCATATTATTTTCTAAACTTCTGTTTTCGACGGAATGAGGTCAACGAACAAATTCCAAGAATACAAAATGCACAAAGCATTTGAAAAATACAATATAATAATATTACGCGTAAATAAAAAACAATGGAATAAAACGGTTATTTCATTCAAACATAAATTTTCTTTAATTTCACAAAAAAAAAAAAAAAAAATGCGCAATTTATTATTTCGTACGAGAAAAAATAATACTCATTACTTGGCGGGTCGTTAATTATCTTATTGTTTGAAGTTTAAACTCTATAACATAATCACGCCCGCCGCTTGCAAGTTCGGTTACGGCGTTACGATATTCAAAGACCGTACGTTGTGTTATTAAAATAACTTAATACATATTATAATTACATTAACAATATTTTAACTATACAGGCGCAAGTTTGAAACGATATTGCAATTAGTGCAACCACGGTACACATTATATTATAATATTTTATTTTATTTTAACACGCATATTCTAAACATCACGTATTGTATGGATGTGGGTAGAATCATTTAAATCTCTTATGAGATAATAGGTACCTATATTATTACTGTTTTTCGTGTACACTTTCAATAACAGTATTGTTGTGAAAAAATGTTGTTGATCAAAGTGCAATAATCATATTTTCTACGCATCTATCCAAAGATCGCATTATGCATGGGCATTATTTTACCAGCGTTGATTATGACTCGTACAATCATTAATGCGGTGCCAGCCACTGTTGAAATCGCCGTACAAATTGCAAAACAATTGGATATTGTTTAACAAACAAAGTGTTATGTATGAAACATTATATAGTGATAAATCGTTTTTTTTTCTGTGCGTTTTATCTAATCCCGTCAGATAGTCGAATGGCGATAGGCGCAAAGCAATCTGTATAAAATATCCAACAAACACCGTACACGGTCAGCGAATGATCTGTTTAGTCTTCTATCGACATACGCACGGTCGTTGTAGGTAACGTAAATTAAATAATATTTTATTCTGTTTTTTACACTCCCGTCTTAGGAAGAAGAAAAAAACTATGATCGCAACTCGTTGTTTGCTGAATGGTTTCCTGGTGATCGCTTTAACCATGTCCGTCCTACTACACGTAAGCGCAACTAAAAATTACAATAAATGACACTTACAGGTGTCGTGTATACTGTACATTATACGTACAATATTTTTCTGACTTTCCTGTTTCGACGATATTTATCCACAATGGAATATTGTTATTTGTTACAAACTCATTAAATGTTTTATGGTGAAATGATGTAAACGAATTAAAATTATAACCTGTAGGTAGGTACGTGAAATTTTACATGGTACAATTATTAAATTTGTTTCTTCGAATTCTCATACGAATAACTATATTACAAAATTTATGACATTAAATGTGTGTTCATTTACAACAATGTTATATGTTGATCCCTACCAATTTATGTTGATAAAAATACGAAATTTTACGTTTAAGAGTTTCATTTTAAGTATACTCATTAAACACATCAATACCATCAAATGAATAATGAATAATTTAATTATACATTTCATTTTTAGAGGTTTACCACCTGTTTTATAGAACCAAATAAAGTAAATCTACATTAAAGTTCAAAAGCTCACTAATAGAATCTTCGTTTACCATCAATTATTATGATATTCGATAAATTTATATATTTTTTTAATATTGATAAACATTTGAGTTTATACTTTATTATAAAAAAGCAATAACATGTTTATTATTATTAATATTATTTTTATTTATTTATTTTGTTTAGTGTTATTGTTATGTATTTTAATTTAAAAAATCTCAAACAGTATCAATAGATCATAAAACAATGGAATTTAAAATATTTCATCTATGAAAACGAAAAAAAAATGTCATATTACTTCTTCATGTATTAAGTAATTATTCGTAAAAATGCATATAAACAGAAAAATAATTTTAAACAATTTAAATAAACACCAACAAAACGTTTTTAAGTAAACCAAGAATACTCAAAATCGAATTTATCATACTTTAAAATTTAAATTCACCCATTTCAGTAGTATTCTTGGACTATTTTTCGTATCATATTATTTTTAAGTATGTGATTAGAAAATTTGATAATTTTATGACGGAATTTAAACATTCTTATGACATTAATACTAATATTAATCCAAGTATTCCAAGCTCTCATGTATTCAAACTATCTAAATATATTTCCCTGTTATTGGCCATATCATAAAATTTATTTTATCGAAACGTATAATTGTAGATATTATAAAAATGTTTTTCCATATAAGAAAAATGTCCAAAGTAATGAAATGTTACTAAATAATATGTCATGTAATGTATACTATCAAAACAGATTGTTTATCATTAATTCACTTTTTCACTTTTTATCAGTTATAGCAACACGCCGAAGAACAATCATGCATATGAAATATGACAGTCGTCATATGTTAAACAATGATACGTATAGTGACATGGTATAGGTATACAATAAATACACGAAAAATGTAATAATTTTTTTTAATACCAATTGTGTCTATCTATAATATTTTATAATTTTATAATAATTGAAAACTTGTTTCACATTCTTTAATTATGCAGGAACATAAAAATATGATATCTATAAAATATATTGTTATCGTATTACAATGGTACAATTTCCAACATTATGTAATCGTAATATAATATCGTAAGATAACGCAGTAATTTAAATTGCACTTTAAATAAAAAAAAAATTCCTAGTAGACTTTACGTTAACCGTAACAAACTACGCCCTTGAAAATTTACTATAAACAAATAATGTTTATCTAAATATACTTTACTTGTTAATATATTATATATTATTATGTATCAAAACTCGTAGGAATCCAAACATTACCCAATACATATTACAAAAATATTAATTAAATATTGTTAAAAAAAGATCATTATTGGCACAATATATGTTAATGATAATTTTCTGATGTTTTTTTATCTGAAAATATCAGATAAAAAATAAATATTATATTCTCTGTATATTAATGTATATTCAATAATTATTGATATTGCTCTTATTGTGATAACGATAAAACAATTATTCTCTTACTAGTTCCTAACAATATTTACTATTGAAATTAATAATTATAACAATTCCTTAGATACTATATAATAAACTAGTTAATAATATAATAAATACTTTTAAAATCATACTTATTTTTGTATAACCTATTTTGTATTTTTGTATCATTATACTTATATTGATAGTAAGTAATAAGTAGTGTACTCAGGTTTTTAGTTTATTGAAAATATTTAACTACGGTTATCACAGACTCTACACACTTTTTGAGGGGGGAAATTTCCAGAGGGATTTAGACTTTGAACCCTACTCCTACGTACGCCACTACTTATTGATAACAAACTTTATAAACATAAATATATATAAGTAAAAACAAACAACCATAAGAATTAAAAAATATTGTGTTATGCAATTTTATGTTTTATGTATTATATAAGTACATATACTCAATTTTTTGAGAACCTAGGTCAATGATATTATGATAAACAATATTTCTGTTTTACTTTTACTTAATAAAAATTATTATTGTAGCTATTTAACCTAACCAAATATTTTTATTTTAAATATGGGCAATTACCCATCACTATTTATCATATATATATATATATATATACTATAAACTACCATTATTATTTGAAAACTATTCTGCATTAGGTACATACCATTAACTTAAATTTAATTGTATATTATCTAGTTTATAATATTACTATACCAATTTAATATTATTGTTGTTTACAAATCTGTTTTTTAATATATTATTTCCTGTATTAAATAGATACACTGTAAAGCGTAGATATGTTATTTATGATAAATATTTTTAGATATCAAATAAACATTAACTATTAGATAAGTTATATGGCAAATATCATACAAAAATGTTTGTTGATATCAAAATTTTGATGTAGTGAAATTATATATGAATATTGAAACACATAGGTATATTAATTTTGAGTTATCATCAAAACATTTTAAGATTATTAACTAACAAATATACAAAAATGTATTTAGACTGAATATCAAATATATAATATCAATGTATTATTTTTATTATGTAATGGCAAATAATATATATAAATATATATAATTTTGTTTATATAATAATAATTATAATACATTTTATATTGTGTTTTATAAACATTGTCACAGTACTGTAACTTTTCTTTCTATTCTATAAAAACTGTCTTGTTAATATATATTATATATATATAATTATAATGTTAAAATATATTTATGCTCACACAGTAGATCTTAAATATTTTCTTGTTCTTTCAATAAACATATTTTCAAAATATCTATCTGATCACATTTTATCAATAACTATAGATATTCATTGTCTCAATATTTTTACTTGATGTTGCTTAAAATATTTTTTGCCCATTAAATAAAAATATTGTAACAATATGTTTTAAATATAATTTTATACATAACATAAATAAATTTTCAAAATGTTTTGGGTAAAAATATTTCAAAGAACATAAAAAAACATGTCTACAATATAAATATATATATAGTTACAAAAGAAAACAAATAAACACGTCTATACATATTAATACATATTAAGTTTTTTTTAATTTAAAAATTCAGAAAAAGTTCAAAGTCAAACTGCTCACATACATTTATTAATTAATTATATTGAATTTTAAATACAGAACCATTCAATAATTTATACAATAAGTATAGTTATTACAATAAATTTATAGCACACAATGTTATGTTAGTAAACAAATGTCACAATTCACAGTAAAAATATGCAAATCATATTAAATAAAATATCAACAACTACTCACTTTATAATAATATTATATATATGGTCACAATTTAAAACGACAAAACGTACAAAAATCTAACTACTATTTTTAAACGAATTCGATGTGTATCATACAATATCATTAATTTGTTCCATTAAATTATCTATTTGTACCATATTTTATCGGAAAATATAATTCATGAATGTTTATGATTAAAATAATGATCGTCCTGACATTTTATACTAAGTCATTCATTATTTCCTCAAAATTAATTTGAAAATTATTAAAATATTTGGTTTAGATAAATTTAATAAATTGTATAGCTTTCATTCAACAATCGATCTTAAAATGATTAATAATTTCTTAAACAGTTTTCATGGTTCTAGAATTTGAAAATTACTTTTTAGTCAAAGCAAATTTTACTTACTCTAGTTACCAGTAAAATATTTAAGTACCTATTAACATATGTAATTAGGTCAGCAATGATAACTTTACAACAAAATTTATAGATAACAATAATTTTATTGTTAATAAACTAATCTCATTACATAATAACCAACTACGAACAACTGCGTCGTATTCTCAAAGCTTAAATTTATCGTTAACACACTTGCAGTGTATCATTGTGTAAAACTATACTGCGATAGCACGTAACCATTTTAATACATATTTCCGAAGTTTCAACACCACATTATAATAATTGGCATTTGAAACCTTTGAAAATGGTGTTCCCGGAAATTCGATTTGCATAATATTTCTTGATATCTCCAGTCATCGAATTCGGTTATACTGGTCCATTTATATTTATATTCATATAATATAATATTCTTGTGTTCATATAAATATATATATATTACAGCAGTTTTTAATGGTAAATACGTACTATATGTATACTTAATGATTATGAGGTTTAGTCCAGTCGACGAGGGAGGTTTTGAAGGGAGGCTCAATTGTCGCCGGTCTGCAGTTATTGCGACGTATGATTCGCATCACGTTACAGTGTATTATGACGACGTTATAATGTATATTGTTCACAGCAAGTGAAAAGTACGGCGGTTGTGCAACGACCTTCGCTAGTACAGAGTATACTACAGCAAGCAGTGGCCATCGGGAAACGGACGGTAGAATTGTTCTTCAGACCGAGGCTGATAATGCCTAAAAACGTTTTGGGAAGAAAAATCAGATACAACACTATGTTAAACGGTTCCAGGAGGAGGAACTTAGCTAGAAGGCGTTTGACGAGGAAACGAATGAACACCTTGAAAAGAATGAATACGAACGGATTTCTTCGGCCCGTTATACACTGACTGCTTACACAAATCATTCATAAACAGTATTATCAATAGTACCTAATATAAATTATAATAATAATAACGTGTAATGACTCGTACCTATGTCGTTTTAAATCTATAAATAGAACCATTTATTCAGGTAGAAATGTTTGCTATGTTCCTTTGTACACGACGACGTAAATTGTATTAAGTGAAAATTTTTGATTTTTTTTTTTATATATAATTAGCTAAGTGTTTTTAAATTATTATTTGTTTTTATAAGTATCATTACAGTATTACACGGAAATGTAAAATATCTAAATTTTTTTCCTACAATGATGGTTATTCGTCTATGCTTTTTGAAAAAAGTCAAAACCTTCAATTTTTAGTCAATTGCGAAATATATATATGCATAATGAAAAATAACTGATACGGCAAACACTCAATGATATTATAGAAAATTATGTTCCACGTCAACGATTTTTTTTCGTCAAACACATACATGCAAAGATTCAACCATATCATAGTCGATTTAATATACGATTGTTTGAAACCAAAATGTTAAATTATCACTAAATTGTATTGGCGGCGTATTGTTATAAACTAGAAAATGCAAGAAGATAAAAAAAAATATCATAACTTCAAATTACTTTATTATTCGTGTTATATACCTTATTTATACGAGTAGAATTACCTTGCATAATATAGCTATAGTTTGAGTCAAGTATGCAGTTACACATTATAATCCGGATGAAACAATATTTTACTATTTTTTTATGTATATTTTTTTCTTTCCATTCTGATTGTGCATTATACTTATGGAAAATTACAATACAACGTACACTTTTTAAATGCTTCTGGTTTAAACTCGGATTGTGATGGTCGGGTACCTGTCTATTTTTTTTTTTTTGATTTTTATTGAATTAACCGCATTATTGTGGCTCTAGCATCGGCGTTGATTAAAATCTATGTTTAGGTATTGGCAGGTATGCGAATTTTCGGAATTATAAGCGATAATAAAGTACGTATACAACCGTGAAACAATTTCTGATTTAAAATCGCAAATTTTAATCACCTAGACGACCCTACAAAAAACGCTATCCTTATCACTTATCATATTATGCTTTTATTAAATATATATTCGTGTACCTATATATATATATATATGTATGTATATGTGTATACATACGCAACAACTGAATAAAATAGGCTTCCGTAGTTGTGGCTATAGCACGTTTACATTCAATTAAGGACAATCATATTTAAAATAACGATGACAAACATATCAATTTGCGGACAGAAATTTTCTTTTCCTTTTACGGTCACTTAAATATATTTAACACTTAGTTCGACAATACCACTAAATAATAATTGTTGGTTATTGAAATACAATGTTAAAATTAAATAACAAGTTAAAAACTACAATTCATGAAAGTAGAGACAAATTACAATAAAATACTTATAATGCGCAGCTGGGTCAAATACAATATGACTAATGACTACAAAATAAGAATATTTTTAGTCACATTTCCTCACTAATATGTTATGAAGACTTTTAGAAATTATTATGTGATTATTAATTGATATAGAACAAAATTATTAATATTGATTTATAAGTTATTTGATTCAGGCATTCAGCTTAAGCACATATATTCATATATTATGCAGTACCTCTTTACATAATATTACGATATTATTTTATTTACGATTTTATGAAAAATTGGAAAATAATTCATGGTCTATAGTCTATACTATATGAATAATAATTTTGATGAAATCTTGAAAATATTTTTAACTACAAATATTACTAGTTGGTCAAGGCTTTTAAACGTATATATTTAAACCACAAAACGTTACAATTTTCAATATTACAAAAATACCACTATTGTTTAAAACCATTCATAGCGGCTATTAATTTCCATCAAGGTTGTAAATTTATAAAAAATATCGGTAAACACAATTAATCATCAATAGAGTTTATTTGTAAATTCTATTTTTTTTTTTTTTACATTTAAAACGTATCGTCTGCGGAAATAACTGTACCAGAGTGTACGTTAATTGGCGTGAAAATTTTTGAACATCAACGACTGTCATTACAATAATATTAATTATAAATTATTACTAAGTTACTGGTCTACTATGGATAAAAAAAAGAGATATTTGAGGGGAGAGAAGGGCATCAAGGTGGCAACGAAAATTAATGATTTGCCACATTTATATCGCTTGCAATATATTATATTATATTATATTATATACGCAGACACGCATCGTCGATGAATCGTCGTAACTAACCTCGTTTGTAAAATGTGGTCATATAAATTAAATTTTAAGAAATTAAAAGACCATTTTTCTGTTAAACCATTTTCTCGAGCTCCGCGTAAGCCGTGAGCCTATTCAATATTATGTCGTGTTGACTCGCGTTGAATACTTTGATCGGACTTCATTGTTAAATCTGTACGCATAGCATATTATAATATAAGTCAATAATATCATAGATTTTATAATACGTTAGTGTTCACGAACGTTACATTGTTCAATAATATTTTTAAAACAATAACAAAAAAAAAAAATCCAAAAACTCCTATAGTTGTTATTTATCTACACATTCCTTTGGTGATGTTTTCGAAATCTGGCTGCACGTGATTTAATGCATGCGGCTTTTTTTATCGTGACATGGTACCCAATGATCGACGACTATAGGTGGTTCGATTTACTAACAGAAATCCCCCTCGCAGAGTTGAATATTGAAACATTTTCACCGCTCCAAAAGGTCAAGACAAACACACATGCACCTCGCACGCACGCACACACGCACACAAACGCACATTGTAAAAGTGATAGGTTCATCGCTTCACTGGGAATCCGAAATGAAATAAATTTCGGTTTTGAGATTTGTATGTTGACATCGTATATTTATTTATCGAAATATCATTGACCTAATAAAAAAAAATAATTTGTAATGACTAAATGATAATTCCATTTTTGGAGGGGCTCTCGCGTAATAATATGTCGCATCGCGGGGCCCACGAAACGTAGTTGTGACACTACTGCAGTTATGGTTTTTTCCTTATAGAATGCGACGGGCACATCGGCCAGCGGAAGCGATGACGAAAACGGTGGTGGAGGTGGCGATGGTGCCGTTGTCAGCGGCGAGGGCACGACGCCGTCACCGTCGCTGATGGATCGAGTGACGGGCGTGATGGACAGCGTCAAGCAGCAAGCTTCCGAGACGCTCGACGGGGCCGGGACCGCGGCCGGAAATGCGGCTTCTGCCCTGGGCCGCCTTCAGCCGGGAAAAATCAAGCCGGCGTCGGAAGTAGGCGGAGGCGGATTGCGCGCGCCCGAGAAGAAACTTCCGTCCGGCGATAACGCGATGGGACGGCTGCAGGAGACCAAGGGGCGCACCGTGGCCGCGGCCAAGAAGGTGATGGACGAGACCATACACAAGCTGCAGTCGACCGTGGACGACATACGACTGACGATCAGCGGCAACGACCGGGACGACGTAGGCGGCGACCGGAGGATAAGCAACGCGCTGGACGGCCTGCTCCGGGCCGTCGGCTCGGAAGGCAAGGCGGTGTTTGAGTACGCGTCGGACGTCATCAACGAGACGGCTGACCGGGCCAAGGCGGCCGTCGACAAGGCCCAGCAACAACAACGAAAGCCACGGCCCAACCAACGATAAATCATTAAACATTGTTTCCGGTTACGCGATTTCCTGTTTTATGCGACATTGTTCACGATATCTTATGCCTACGTCGCGCTATACTATTACTATTTACGTGCCATCCCGCGACACACTGTCCGTCGACTAATATTTTGTATACACGATAACGTGTAATCGTCGATTGATAATATTACAATAAATACCCTCTCCAAAATATTATTTGTACACGTTTTTATCATTACGTCTGTGACTCAACTTTGCAACCCTTTCCGTACAGCGTAAGTGTCTACGCGGTGTTTATAATAACGTTCCATTTTACGTGGCTACATAATGCACTATGTCTTAGACACTCAGACCCTACTGCGGGGGCGACGATATACGTTGGTGCAATTTATGCTCTTTGGTCATCGCACCGTAATACTTCTTGGTATACCTACGGGTTGAATGATATTTCGTTTTTGTAACGCGAGAGTAACAAAACTCGCTTTTCTTGTTGAAAATAAAAGGAATTTCGTTACGATCTCGTTTATGTTATACAAGTAACAGAAGTAAAGTGACTCCGTTGCTCGTATCACTAGATAATGGGTAAAAAAATAAAATAAAAACACCGATTGCGATGTCACCCAACACGTTGTTTTTATTCGTTTCCGCGTGATAAGGTGGTTTCAGTGCGATTTCGGTGTTGCACTCGCGTGTCGCGCGTGTCACGCGTGGCGGATCACATCGGTGATTGGACTGCACTGCAGCTGACGGATTTCACTGTGCAGAGGACTCAGTCAGACGCCCGAAAAGCACACGAGACAGAGAAAAAAAATCAACAATACCCGCATCGTTTTTGATGTTAAAAACTTTATAACAAAATATGTTTTTTTTTCACGTGAATTATTTTTCATACGTGGTTCTCGGGTGTAGGTGTAGGTGTAGGTGTAGGTACTTATTACGTGATATGAACGGCGTAATTGATGCCGGTGTTACGTAAGTTTATTTATTATATGAATATGACGAACATCATAATATACTGGTATTATCTTCGTGTAACGTAGGTAATAGGTAACCTTTTACGACTGACTATAATTTTATGCACAAATGAAGCTATTCTACGCCATGAACGTATAGACGTACCGTAGCAACAAATCAAACAAATCGCTTTATCCTCATACAAATTACAAAGTCATGTACGTTTACCTAACGGTGCGCAAAGATAGAAAAAGACGTACGAATAATGTTGATTTTGTAAACCATTTAATATTTTTCTATGATGTATGAAAATAAAAACCATAATAATCAAATCACCCCGAATTAGGTTGTTCTTGAAAGTACACTACACCCATATACTGTATTTCCGTCTTACAAACGCGTAGCACAGCGAATTGTTCGATCTGAACGATCTGTTTAACTCTGTGTGTTTAATATTACGGTGAATTTACTTATTGTCATGTTTAAAAATGAGAATATAAATCAGTAAACCTCGTAGTCTTCTTTTTATATTTTTTTTATTTTACAGTGAATTATGAGCGTTTTAAACTGTATAAATTTTCTACGCAATGAGTTTGTAAGACGGAGACAGCGCATACGGGTTAGTAGTTTCCTTTTAAGACGACCCGAGAACATCTCACCCACATATTAAATTGTCTCCTCCTGATGAATGCTTAACATGAAAAATGTACGTTAAACAATTCTCAATTACCTTTGTTAGTTTTATTATAAAATTTAATTTATCTACTGTCAAACTAAACTTTTCTGTGGTTTGTTGAGAATGTTTTTTCGTATTTTAATTTTAAAATGAGTTATGAGCATTTTTAAATTGTAATATTTTACACGTTCGTGGCCAATTTCAAAATCAAAATCAAATGGAAAATTAAAATTTTTGTAATCATTCGATTACAACGAGTCTTTACAGTTATTATCATGCACTTAATATACAATATTAGTTAATAGTTTACATAATTTATTTTTTTCTGATGATCGACATTAAACTTGGGTAAAAACCATCAATAGTTATTCTTATTCTTATAGAGATTTACAGTTCGCTTACTGTAGGTAGATCAGGTATATGATAAAACCGTTAAATAATAAAATAACTATAGTAAATTATATTATTTTATATTTATTTAGTAGTTCATTTTTATAAATTATTAAAATGTTTCTTATATGTATCAGATATAATATGATGTATTTAATTTAGCCAATTTCTGATAATAATAATTTATACTCTGATCCTTGATAGTCGAGTCGTAATACATTTATAAAATAAAAAATATTAAACTGTGCATTACACAGATTGTTGCTTCTTATATATGCATATTGTTTATTTATATTTCAGTGTGCTGATTGCCAAAAATTGGAAACATTTCGAGTTATGAAACATCATCTGGAGGATCTAATGGCGAGTAAAACGAACGTCATGATTGACGATCATTCAAACTTTAAGACCATAATCCAAAGTACAATCGATGATTGGAATGAAGAAGCCACAGCAGCTATCGACAATGGTACTAATTTATTAATGGACTCATTTCGACTAACCGATGAAGCTATTCAAAAATCCACTCGTAGTGTTAAATCCGACGTCGAAAATGACAAGAAAAATAAAAAAGTAAAATGAATGGTTAGACTATTGCATTTAACAAATTACTGTTTTTTTAATTTTTAAATAAAATATAATATAGTAAAAATATTATTATGTATACTGAAAATGTGATAACAAATAATTATGTGTAAAATAGACGTTTTGAAGCGACTAATTTAGAGTAAGTCTTCAAAATGTATTAGTTTTGCAACACTTTAATAATTATAAGAACCCTTTGTGTACACTATCTTGTAACTGTTCAGAGTATAAAATATTATCTAAATAATAATAACGATAATTAGTTTCAACAAGTTCACATACACTATTTCAAGATTTAACATGTTATATAAATGACACGATATTTTAATGCATATTTACAATAAATAATATATACACGTGGCGCTATCTATGAGTTTATTAAAGAAATCTTCACAAATGTATTCATATTGTATTTTTTTCAAACAATAAGTATTATAAATAATTATGAAAAATAATTTGATAACTTGTTTAATTTATGATGAATTATCCTACATATAAGTTAAATTTTACCATTAAAAAGGTTTAAAACAATTTTAGTATTCCTGACTTTATATTTATATAATATAATATATTAATTTACCGATTTTCTAATATAGCCAATTTAATTAGTGTACTTCATTTAATAACAACAACAAAATTTAAATTCAAAAAGTGGACCACTATAGGTAATCACTTTCTTTTGTAGTAATTGTTGAATGTACCGCGAATTACAAAGGGTGTTCATCAATAAAAAAAATATCATACACCTCCCACAAGAAAGGACATACGAAGATCACACCACCAGCTCCACCGACCACGCCCTCTAAAGTTTTGCATGTCACAGATGTACCTCCGCTTGCCCACACTCAATTAAATTCCAAAAAAGGTGCCAAGACGTATGCAAAAGTAACTGCAGGCAACTTGCACAATTCAAACACCGAATCTATTTCAGTAATCATGGCTCATTTCATTACGCAATTAAATTCCCTTATTACTCCACTAATCTCGCTCTTATCTAATCTCCTAAATACAATTCTTTCCAAAAATACTTCACCTCCTTAATTATATCTGGCCATTTTATATACATTTAATTATTTAATTGGTTTATATCAGTACTCTTATCTATAATTGTATCTGTTTCTCTTTTATTGTTTTACTATTTTCAACTAATATTTGTATACTTTGTAACTGTCGAACCTAATAGTATAACTAAGGTTTCAATAAAAAAAAAAATTGTTGAATGCACCGTATCATTGAGTTAGTACCTATAATAGATGTGTTGAACTGAATTAAACAATAATTCATTGCACACGTAAAACAATTAGGAGCTAACACGTTTTATCAGCCTATAGGTATATTACTTAGTTAAATTTAAAATATATTTTTTAATATCATGTAAAATTATTTTAAAATATTTTATTTTCCGAATTTTGTCGAAATTTAAACTTCAAATGCTTATAAAAACAAAATATTTATAATTGATGTGCATATATATTTATATATTTTTGAATTACTATGAAAACAATGTACGTGGAATCTTGTGTCAAATTTTCAAATTTATTGAATTACCTAAAACATTTTAATTAACACTTGAAAAAAAAATTCAAAAAATGTCAAATGCTTATACTTAAATAACTTAACAGTTTAAAAATGTCATTAAGTAAAAAAAATTATAATTTAAATAATAATGGAATGTTTAAAGTTTCTAAGATCAATATTTTTTCTATTATAACTAAAAAACAAAAATAAATGGTGATAAATTATTATTATACGTTTGAATATCGTCAAAATTTAAACTTTAAGCACTCGTACAAAAATGTTGTGACTATTTTTTTTTTAATTTCTCTTAAATAATTTTATTAGGAATATTGCATAAAATCTTAAAGTTTATAATGTTATAAATTTTCATCTATAAAACAATTTACAAATTTTGATGATTTTGAAGAATCTTGCAAAAACAAAAAAAACTTGATACATGTCATAAAAAAAATGTGATTATGTATCTTGGTAGTTTTTAAATTCAGTAAGACCAATTTATAAAGAATCTCGTGTTTCATTTTTTTGTTTGAAAACTATATTTTTATCTTACTTTAATCGAAGAAAACTCAAAAATTCAAATTTAAAATATCTATAAATAGCACAAGAAGAATCAAAAATTTTGGTAAAAATGTCAAGTCTCTATGATAATTTATTTTTTGATTAATGTAAAACAATTAAAATTAAATAGATTTTGTAGAAAATACTTTTCAGATAAAGACTATAGTTTTTTCATTATTTTTTATTTTTTTTCCTAATTACTTTAAGAATTACTATCGAATAATTTTCAATTTCGCTCTCTCAAAAGTATTATCTTAGATGTTAGATCCATTTAAACGTAAAAAATAATCCTTAATGATGAATATCAAAGCATTTTTTCATTATTTAAATCGCTTCTGTGGTTTGTTAGTTTGTTACTGCACAATTGTTACATAATATTATTATGTATTGACGATAGTCTCTTTTGTGCCTTAGTGAAATATTTTTTTTTTGCTTAATTAATTCTCAAATGTATTTAAGTAGTTATTAAAATACATTTTTCAGTAACTATATCTAGTTAAAAAATTTTAAATTAAATCCCTTACAGACGGAT